CACCGGGACGATTGAGCAACCACAGCCACACCAAGGCCCCGACGCTCCGTTGGCTTCTTCCCCAGTTACAGTCCCCTCGCTACCACTCCTCGATCCCGGCGGAATGGAACTGCCTTGGGCAATCATGACCATGTGAGTGAAAGAGTAAAAATTCTGAAGAACCGAGATATTCAGCAACTGAGAACTGGTTAATGCCACATATGAAATGCAAACACTATGCATCCTTTAAAAAGAGTGGGAAGAACTCTCATCAGAGAAAGCAATGACATACTGTTACGTTTTTTAAAAGTGCTGAGCAGTATGTATAATATAATCTCGTACCATTCCATGAAAAATGGAGGAGATACAGACATGTGTTTGAATTTGCATAGAAAAAAACCCTAAAAATTCTAGGTGCTAAAAGTGGTTCCCTATGGAGGATAGAATGGGGCTATTTTCATTTTAATCTACTTAAAATAAAAGCAATGCAGACACTGATTTAAAAAATAATGAGAGAGGGGGACAATCAAGGAAAGATGCCGCCTCGGCAGAGAGTGAGTCGATCACGTGCCCTTTTATTTCCCGGTGAAGTTGTGACTCCTTACGCGTTTGTTTGGTATCTGGCACGAGCTCAGTGCTCTCACACCAAAGCAGCCTCAGACTGTGCTGTGTGCTTTTCTCACTGACACCTGGTAAGACAATGAGTAAGAGGGGGTGTGTTTGCTTGTTTGGGGGTATAATGAAGACGTAAAATAGGGTGGAGGCCAAAATCTGTCCAGAATAAATGAATGTTCAAAACTTGTCAGGGTCTCTGATTAAGAAGTAACAAGCCTGACATGCCAGAGACCTTCTACTAGGAGACGAGGACGGGAGAAAAGGCAGTAAAAGGGACCCGAGTTCTGACCCGGCTGTGCCGCTCAGTAACTATACAGCACCGGGCATTCACTCCCTTGACCATCCGGTCTCTCGTCATCAAAAGGGCAGAAGAAGAGTCTCCTGTCCCGACCGGTGTGGCTCAGTGGGTTGTGTGTCATCGTCCTGTGAACCAAAAGGTCACCAGTTCGATTCCTGGTCAGGGCACATGCCTGGGTTGGGGCCAGGTCCCCAGTTAGAAACATGCAAGAAGCAACAGATCCATGTTTCTCTCCCCTTCTTTCTCCCTCCCCTATCCTCTCTCTAAAACGAAATAAAATATTAAAAAAGAAGGAGGAGAAGAGTCCCCTGACCTCCGAGCAGTGCTGTGAGAATTTGGAGAGAAACTGCAGTGTTCAGCACAGCACCGCCAGGCACTGCAACTTCGGTATCAGGTGGTGAGCAAACAGCACCCCAAGTCCGATCCCACAGATGTCGGTGAGTTCTGATGGGAGGGAGTGTTCAAAGATCCCGTCCGGGTGACTGACTTCTCTCAATGAAACTACGCGTGCTGCCAGCGGGTACGGACACACCCGGAGCTCCCGAGGCCGGGTGCCCTCCTCCTGACAGTGGGGAGGGAGACGTGTGGGCAGCCACACAGGGCTGGCTTCCCCAGGCTGTGAAAAGAGGACTCAGTGATAAGTCCAGTCCAGGCCCCAAGTCTGACCTCTTACTGATTTGGGATTTATCTTCCACCTACCTCCCCAAAGGACCAGAGGCAGATTATGGATAAGAGTCACATACTCAGTAGACTAATTCTAAATGAGAAAATACAGATCGAGGGCGTGTAATGAGGGTGAAGCACTCTTCGAGATCTGCTGCAACTGAAAATAAAACTGAGTTCTGGGCATCCGGAATTAAGGCAAAAAGGCAAACTTGCCGAGTATCATTAGGCACAGGAAGAATCACGATCAATCAGGAAAGGCAGATTTTCCTAGAACTAAACTCAACATGTTATAATCAGAAACTGATCCTAGGAGGTTATGCTACCGATTCCCTCCCACCTCCCAGACTCCTGACGTCAGCCCTGGCGTGTGAGTTTCCTCCTCACAGCTCTGCCAGTTTCCAGCTGTGCGACCCGGAGCCAAAGCCTCACCTCTCTGTATCTCGGCTTCCTCAGCCTTCAAAGCGAATGATGATCCTACTTACATGGGAGAGGGAATGAAAGAACATTTGCACCAACTGGGTGCTTGCTAAACACTATCTCACTGAAACCACCTAGTAACCGTATTAGGCACGTCCTATAAACCCTGTACAGATGAGCTCTCTGAGACTCAGAGGGGTGCAGCCGGTGCCGTTGCCACACAGCTGAAAAGCAGGTGAGCCAGGACTCAACTGTAAGCTTCTGGAATACAGAGGCACAAGTTTAACTCTTTCTTCACCTTCCCTGTATGTCAAGCACCGCTCCTGGCACATAGTAGGTACTCAACATATTAATTCTCATCCTCACTCCTTCCTTTTCTCCTAAATTGTGTATGTATATACAGGGTGAAGCAAAAGTAGATTTACCGTTGTTTGTATGGAAAATAGTATAATAATAAATTAATAATACAAGGATAAACTCTGTTTCACATACAACTGTAAACCTATTTTTGTACTGCCCTGTTTTACATATATAATTCAAAGTATATTAGAATAATATGAGTATCTTATATTTATATAGCTTCTTGCCTCTATAGAGATCATACCCCTTAATCCATTTTTTCTATAAATCCTACCAAATCTCTACCTATCATTATTACTTTACTTATTTTACAAATAAGGAGCTAGAAGGCAGCAAGCTGCCTGGGTGACATGCCCAGAATCAAATGGAAGTCACTGCCAAAACCAAATATAAACCTTGGTCCTTTTTTCATCTAAATCAACCTTTATCCTCTCACATGACACAGCCTCCATAATAAAGAACAGATCATTCATTTTTTATCTGGAAAACTACCAAACGTACAATCCAGTAAGGGGCCTCATGACCTGACCACCTTGTCAAAGGGAAGAAAGTATATAAAAAATGAGGTTTGCAGGAGCAGGCGGTTTTGGTCCATCAACTTTCTCTTGGATTACTCCCATTAGCTAACATAAAATAATGTAAAATACAATGTAACAGATCCCCAGCTCTTTGGAAACTCAAGTCAAACTCCCTGAAACTCGCACCTTCACACTTACATACAATACACTGCACCCAGTGTATTGCGCCCAGTGGGGCTGCAGACGTGCACGCTCACTGTGTGAACTAGATCTTCTAAAGGAAAATGGGATCCACAACCAGGCCACACTAGGAGGAACTGAAGCCAGCAGTGAGCGTGTAGCAGCATAAATTCGTGGCTCACAGACTATGGGCTCCACACGGGACCTGGCAGGCCACGGAGAGCAGCCCCTCCACCTGGTACGTGAACAAACCGAGGCTCACGGAGGTTAAGCGGCTTTTCCAAGATTTCGGACAGGAAAGCGAGAAATAAAAAACAAACCAGCTGACTACTGTCCACCCCGCTTGCAAACCCTGCTCCTGAGGTCCATGAGCACCCTTGCTGCTTCCCCGGACTCCACGTCTCCTCAGGGAGCACAGGAGAAGAGCCTGCACCCTGGTGGCAGGACGCGCAGGACTCAAATCCTGGCTGCCACTGACTGGCCACGTGAGCTTGAGCTGGTCCCTTAGTTTCTCTGAATTTGAATTTTTCCATCTGTAAACTGTGGGTACAGTAAGCTCTACAAGTAAGTTGCAGGTATTACAAACCAAGGCATGGCCTGTGAGCTCCCTGGAAGCAAACATCAGGTCTGTACGTCTCCAGCATAAGGCACGGATCCTGGCACGTGACACTTTTGCAGAACAGCTGAGCAAGTCAGCGAACTAACCAGCAAACACGCACTGGACTTGAACCCAGATCTACCTGATCCTTAAACACTAGGCTGTATTGCTTCCAAGTCATACAATTTCAAGGGAGAGGATTAATTCTGACTTACGCCACACTGAGAACACAAGGGAGTAAGACAGTCATTTTTTGGTCATAAAGCAAGAAAAAAGTTCAGTGGGGAAAGTCCCTGGACTCTGTTTCGGGATTAATACTTGTTGCTAACGTGGGTGTATCCTGAGCCTTCGGAATGAAGTAAACCTGGGTCTAGTTCCAGCTACAGCGCTCCACGGCCCCTCAGCCTGACCACTCTTGAGCCTCCGGCCACTCTCAGGTAAAATGAAGGTGACCAAACACAGGCACTGAGACACCAACCCAACGACCCCGACGGCTGCGGAGTGACCAAGGGGCAGGTAACACTCACAGCACGGACGCGCTGGGCACAGGGATGATCCGCATCCCAGGTGGGACGCGGCGGGCGGCTTGAGATTTCATCGCACAGTCAGAATGGCGCACAATTTAAAACTTATCAATCGTTTATTCCTGAAACTTCCCATTTAATGTTTCTGGCCCGCAGCTGATCGTGGGTAAAAAAATGCTAAGAGCAAAACCATGGATGTAGGGGGAACGACTGTACATTTTTATTCATTTAAAAGTCTAAGTTCTATGTTTATATCATTAACAATAGTCTGTTCTTACGCCTAAAATTCTTCAACAAGCAAAGACTGATGTAAAAACAACTATTTAAGAAACACGGATTCGAGATTACAAGTAGCGAGATCTTTTCTGCCTTGGGGCCTTTGGGCAGTTCCTTCTGCCCAAATAGCCAGGAATGACTCCTCCTCGTCATTCAGCTCTCAGCAAGGGGTGCTCCCTTAAAGAGTCCTCCCAGGCTAAAAGTGTCCCTGCCACCATCGCCCCCAGCAAGTTCCGTCTGCTGGGTCTCGCTGCCTTTTCTTCCCGCACAGCATTTCATTATCTGGAATGGCTTCATCTATTTATGGGTCCCCTCTTCCCCACCAGCGTGTAAACTAACGAGGACAAGGGCTCTATCAGGCTGACTGCTGCATCTCCAGCCCCTAGTACGTAGTAGGTACTCAGTAAATATTTCTGAATCAGTAAGCCGGACCTTAAAAAGCGTTAGAATTTGCCAGGATGGGGAGTACAGGTAAAGTAAGTCATTGGCCTGACAGTCTCATGGGGTTGGTTTCCTTCCAAGAACAACTTTCCTGCCGCATCAAAACTTATCCAGGTTGGCTCACTTACTTGGGAATGGGTACCCGAATTAGCGTCCCTTCCATTTCTGGGTTCAGATTCATTCCACTTTCTCTTATAGCCTTGATAGCTGCAGCTGTACACTGAAAACCAGATCAAAAGGTAAACAGAATTAGTAAATAATTATTACCAGATGCAAGCCCTCTGTCGATAACTGGCAACCCGTCTTGGCAGAACATGGAAACATTTAGTTCTGTTACCAGTAAGATCAGGAAGTTACATTGGTGCAGAGCGCTTTGATCAAGCGGAATAGCAAACTGTGTCCACTCCTGGTACCAGTGTACTGCGGGAGGGAAAAAAGCAAAGAGAAGGAAAAAATAAAAAGAAAACAGCTCTGCTTCTTTGAAAAGATTTCAATGGTTTGAGGCAAGACAGATCAAAACCACAATAAATCCTCAAGGGAGGGGGGCTGGTCTGTGCAAAGATTGGTGTAAAGACAGATGAAAGATTTTATACATTAAAAATTCCAGTTGACATTTTACACTCAAAATATACCAGTGCCGATTTGGAATGAGTAAATAAATTTAACTCATTCGTATCTACACTCACACCAACCTCACTCATGTTCTGGAATGAACAATGACTCTCTGCTGATACGTGCTCCAGAAAAGGCAGAATGATACACGGGCTTAAAGGCATGGGCTTGGGAGTCAGAAAGATCTCAGTTCAAATCCCAGTCCTGCTTACCATGTGACCCTGGGCAACAGGCCGGACCTCTCTGAGCCTCCACTTCAAAAGCTGAGACCACATGGTCCCTACACCTCGGAGGGGACTGAAGGAGGTGGCAGGAGCAGGGCATCTCACTCTGCGTCTGGCCCACACGGAAACAGCTGGGGAAGTTATTACGTACACTTAGAGCACAAAGGTAAGAATCACAAAGCCCCAACCAAGGCTGAGCTGATGTCATCACTGCCGACGCACTGCTGTCCTGCCTGTCGTCCTCCAGGGTGTCTCTGACACAGTTCCGCTCTCCGCTGTGCCCGGCTGTGCACCGGTACACGGATTTCCCACAGTGCCTCACCTCACTGCAAGCAGCATTATAACCCGCCGGTATGCAACCCTAAGGATAAGACAGCAGTGTGGAAAAGATACTCTCGCTGCCATGGCAGTGTGGAATTCGTAAAAATGAGGTTTTTCCAAAAAATGTTGGGTTTGACTACAGCCAGTCCACATCACTTGGACTCATGAGGCCAATTCTCAGCCTTGAGTTCCTCCCTCGACCTCTGGTTCGAAAGACTGGGGTGTGTGACATGCCTATTTGTCTTCCCCAGGGTTGGCTTCAGTTTTGAGGTGGTGCCTAGGGAACTTATGGTTCATTTTCTACATGGTCTTACTGCTACAAGGACACGAGGGGAAACTGTGAGGTCCAAAGATAAAGCAGAACTTTCACAGGCAGATGAATCGTTTCCTTGGGAGGCTGCGCACAGAATCTAACAGTGTGGCCACTGCTTAAAACAATACATTCTTAAAGTGGTACTCTGGCCACAGACTATGGGAGCTGGACGGGACCTGTGACATAACCAAGGGCAGTCCCCTCCTTGTGTTTACAGGGACCTGCGGGGTAAGGCTGCAGCCCCAAGCACACTGGGTCTTCCCGGAGGGCCCGGGGCTGGAGCGAGGACCTCGCCCCTCACACCCCCGCCTGCTGGCAGCGTTGAGGGGACACTGGACTCCTCGGCTCATGGTCCGGTGGTGTCGCTCTGCCTCCGTTTCCTTCCAGATGCCCCAGCTCCACGCACTTTGTACTTGTACCACAGAGGATTTGATTTTTCTTTTAATAGCCCAAAATATTTGGAATGAGGTCTGGTGTATGAAGGGTTTGGCCAAGGTAAATAAAAGAGCCCAATAAAGAAACACGCCTCTGCAGGAGCACAGCTGTCTTCCTCAATAAAACGAGACACAGGTGCTCTAAAGTTACCAATAGAGGGAGAATCCACACTTTGAAGAGGTGGCCTGATCTCCAGTCTCCCGATCCTCCTCCTCTGACACTGCTCACTGAACGACTGGCAACCTGTGGCGGCACCATCCCACCCGTCAGGACCGGAGCCAAATGTCTCCACACGACCTTCCCCTGTGGGCACAGGAGCACCAGCCACAGACACCAAGCTGGCCAGTCCGTGTGTCTCAGTATTCACATCCTCCCAACACAAGGCTCGGAGCCAGACACACGGCAAAGTGCTCCGTAAAGGCTTGCTGAACGAGCACACTGATAAACAGACTCGGATCTATTAGAAAATCTCATCTCCTTTCTTTCACTTCATACACATAACCCCCCAAAACCTTATTTTACAGTTCACTTGTTCCGTGTCCTTTCGTATGCAGAAGAAAAAAGTAAATCAGGAGAGTAAATCAGGTTTCTTTGCAAAATGAAACCTACTAGAAGAGGTAGCTCTAAAATATTCTAAATACGTGTATTTCAGTTTGATGTGGTAGGATGCAGAGACTCACAGAATTACAGTCATTTTCCCAACACGTCTTCTGAACTACTCATAGTTCAGACAAAAAGGCTTGTATTCCTATCTCATTTCCATCTTTTTTTTATCCTCACCCAAGGAAATGTTTATTGATTTTTAGAGAGAGGGAAGGGAGGGAAACAGAGAGAAACATCGATCGGGTGCCTCCAGTACGCACCCTAACCTGGGATCAAACCTGCATCCTAGGTATCTGCTCTGACCAGGGATTGAACCCCCAACCTTTTCATTTTTTGTTTCAGTGCATGGGCGATGCTCCAACCAACTGAGCCACTGGCCAGGGTGCGTATTTCCATCTTGTATCTTAGCCTTTGTCCCCTCACTGAAGGACTGCGCACCAGTGCCCCAGGGCAAACAAGCTGCTCCCAAACAGCATCGCTGACCAGCTGGTTGCAGCTGCTTGGAGCATTCTGTTAAGAAAGATCTGAGCCCTGGCTGGTGTGGCTCAGTGGATTGAGTGCCGGACTGCAAAGCAAACTGTCACTTGTTCAATTGCCGGTTGGGGCATGTGCCTGGGTTGCAGGCCGAGTCCCTCGTGGGGGGCACATGGGAGGCAGCCACATATTGATGTTTCTCTCCCTCTCTTTCTCCCTCCCTTCCCCTCTCTCTAAGAGTGAATAAATAAAATCTTTTAAAAAAAAGATTGGAGACCCCATCTGGTCAGGCAGGAAAGAGTGCTGTCATCAATTAGCAATGTCTGCTCTTGCCATTCTTAAGTTAATCTATGCTAGAGGGCAAAGATGATAAAACTTCTGCAGACAGGTGAACAAGTCCTTGACCCTTTGGGTTCGAGGCAACTTGGTTAGTGCTGCTTCAATCAATCACTGGCCTTCAATTTTCTTTATATCCCAGAGTCCCTAGAATGTAAGGTCTATGAAAACGGGAGCCCTGTTTGTCTTCATCATCAGTGATTTCCAGCACCTCAAATAAAGCCTGAAAACTTGCGGGGACTCAGAAAATATCTGTTGAATGAATGAATGAATAAATGGCAAAAGGAGCTCAGACGTCAGCATCGGACAGATCTGTGTTCAAATCTTGGTTCTATCACGGCGGCGTGAACCCGCAGGAGGGGTTTTACTTCTCTGAGCCTCGGCTGTGTCATCCATAAAATGGAACAAATAATGCTGAGTTTCAGAGAGAACCTGTGTTGATCACGTGAAACAAAGCCCGAGAAAGCGGTGCCTGGCAACACAGCAGACACTCGGTATGCATCAGCTTTCTTCCTTCTACAAGGGCAATAACGGAGCTTGCAAAATTTTTTTATTTGCCTTGTTCAAATCACGCTGTGGTTTTTTACTCCCTTCTTTTCTTTCCCATCATTAACTCTAGCTGCAGGCAAGTTTATGAAAAGCAGCAACTATGTGTATCATTTATCAAGCAGGACACATGTTAAACAAATGCAACACAGTTTTCTGTCTTCAGTGCATGTGAAGAGATTATGCATGTAAATCTGCATTGTGTCACTACGGCATGACACAGAAACGCGCAGGTCTGGAAAGAAAGCCAGCCGCATGTGAAACAGCAAAAAATTACATAAACACGGAGCACATTAGCTCAGCGTTTCGAAGCTATGAACCTGGGTACTCCACAGGCTGCTTCTGAAGTGGAGGAAGGAAATGTTTAGTTAAGGCTATTTGTTTAATACATACACCAGATGAGATAAAGGAATTCAAAAGACAATGTAACTCACACTTCCTCATTCTGTCCTTGTAAAGAGCGTCTCTACCGAGATGCTCATAAAGGTTTGGTTCTTTTTTCCTTCAGAACCCACAGAATTTCAACTTGGAGAAATGGCAGAGATGCCTTGGTTAAGAAACAAAGATATACTCCAACTTCCTGGGAAAAAAATTAAGCTGTTAATACCTCCTCCTGCCTCCTAAGACGCACTGGTGGCCAATCAGGTGCTTCTTCTGTGAATGCCATTTGCTATTTAATAACAGAAGTGGCTGGCTCTGAAAAGCAATCTGCCTGATGAGGTCTTCAAGCTGTGTCATTAGGAGGCTATTCCCTAAATTGGCCTGCAGTGCCTATGGGATTAGATGAGCCAGGCAGAGAGGCCTCCGCGGTGCAGAGGGGCCCAGAAAGAGGAGGAGGTGACAGTTCCCTTTCCGTCCATTTCTCGGCTCCTCAGTAACACCAGGAATGACAGCCTCCCTTCCATCAACCTAGTAACAAGTATTACTGAGTGCTTCCACGTGCCAGGCACTGTTTTAGGTGCTCGACATAATGAATAAGCTATAGATGATTCCTACATTCCAAGCTCACGGTCCAGGGAAAGTAAGATGGAAAATAGAAATGTAAGTGAATATATCACCAGGGGTAATGATAAGTGCAATGAAGAAAAGAGCCGGGCTCATAACAGAAGTTAGTGCGGAGGGATGGTTTTAGATTGGGTAGATGAGGGGAGCCTTCCCTGGGAAAGTGACATGTAACCTGTGTTCCAACTGATGTCACCTCAATCAATTCAACAGAAATATAAGTGAATAAAAAAATAAGTGGCAAATAAAAAGATACATAGATAGCAATTAGCCAAGCAAGAGCGGTCCGAGGAAAAGATACATGCAAAGCCCTAAGGATGCAAAGAGTGTGGGGTGTTTGAGGAGCTGAGAGACCAGAGTGGCCAGAGCGGTGTGCAAGGCTACTGGTGGCACGGGACTAGAGGCACCAGGACGTACAGGCAGGGGCCACATCTTACCAAGCCTTCCAAGCCACAGTAATCTTTTTCTTACTGGACACTGGCTGGTGTGGCTAAGTTGGTTGGAGTGTCATCCAGTAAACTGAAAGGTTGCAGGTTCAACTCCCAGCTCGGGCACAATTCCCAGTTGCGGGCTCAACCCCTGGTTGGGGGGCATATGAAAGGCTACCAGTTGGTGTTTCTCTTTAAAATTGATGTTTCTCTCTCTCTCTGTCTCCCTCCCTTCCCCTGTGTCTAAAATCAATAAGCATGTCCTCGGGTAGGATAAAAAAATGAAAAAAGATTCCTTGAAGCCACTGGTAAATGTAAAGCATGAGAGTGACATACTCCATTGTATATTTTTAAAAGCAGGCTCTGCCTGAGGTATGGAGAATGGAATAGGGAATTGTGCCTGGCGCATTAGCTCCAAGAGCCCTCTGACTTGAAAGTGTTCATAGCAAGGGCTTTGCCTTACTCATATCTCTAGTCCATTTGTCAAATGGAGCAGGTTCACCTTTGGTCTCTGTCTTTGACACACTGAAACAGACAAGGGGACAGGAAGGGACTTCAGATTCCTTCATCTCCTATTAACGAATGAGGAAATGGAGGCCCAGAGAGAGAAGCAGAGTCAAACCGCCAACTAGCAGGGGGGATGGGACTGGGTTCCAGGTCCTTGGGACTCCCACTCCAGGTCAATTCCCACTGGACCAATAAGGAAAAGCCCCACTGTCTTCCTCACCTAGACTCAGAAGCACAGCCCCAAGGCTGCAATAATCTAATGCATCCCAGCTGCTGGCCTCGGAAGCACTGTGCTCTGTGCAATGCTCTGCAATGGCCAGTCCAGTCTGAGAGGAACGTGACTTCCCAGAGGACCTGCTCCAAATACGAACGCAGAGGTCACAGACTGGTAGCTTGTTATGTGTTTTTTTCTTACAATCTTTTTTAAAAAGTGAATTCGTTATCAATATTTTACAAGGATCTTATATAAAAATTTGGGTTATGGGATTCTTCTGGACATAAAAATTTTAATATCTGGCGACACTGGCGATGCCCAGCAGGAGCTGGGCAGGGGCTGCTCCCCTCCAGCTGAGACGGGGCTCAGGCTCCCCAGTTTACCCCAGCCCCTCCAGGCTGCATGGCCACTATTGTTTTCTTAGATGGGGCCTGTTTCAGCATTCAGGTCACTTGCCTGGCTTCTACAGTGTGAGTTTAGCGGAAAAGGAATTCAGAAACAGGCACGAGCTTTTCCTTATCCCTAAGTTCCCTTTACTATGCCTGGCCTCTCGCTCCCTCCCACACTGAAGGGCACGCTTCCTCCTGACGTGACCCAGCCTCCTCCACTCCCAAATGGACCATGAATAAGGACCCCTTTAGCAAGGCCACCTTACCTCTGGGAAGCTGGCCATGTTCACCAAAATCAGCTGTGGCGACTTCATGGAGATCTGGCCAATCTGGTTTAAAGCAAAGTTCCCGTCAGCAGTCACCACAGTGATGTGATCGAGGGACCCTAAAAAGCAATTATAGGGTCTTAGAACTCAGAAGGACCTTCGCAGCCCCACACCAAGTCCCTGTCTGATTCAGATCCAGCTAATATTTAGAGGCCCCCGATCAATGTGGCAAGACTATTCAAGGGGGTTTCTCTTTAAAATATACATATTAAAAAAATTATTTTTAGAGAGAGGGGAAGGGAGGGAGAGAGGAAGAAAAACATCAATGTGTGGTTACCTCTCGAATGCCCCTCACTGGGGACCTGGTCTGCAACCCAGGCATGTGTTCTGGCTGGGAACCGAACCAGTGACCCTTTGGTTCACAGGCCAGCACTCAGTGCACTGAGCCACACCAGCTGGGGCTTACGGGGCTTTCATAGGCACAGCAGTGTCATGTGATGGAAAAGGCTTTGACGTGTTGACAGAACTAGGCTGGAATTCCTTACCAGCAACCAGGGTGGCCAACCATCCTGATTTGCCTGGGCCTGAGGGGTCCAGAGACACAAAACTCTTGAGAGCTCAGACTGGAAAGAGCTCAAACTGGAAAGAGCTGGTCACCCCACCAGCAACTTGGCCATTCATTAACCATGAAACCTCAGGCTGGTTTACTTATCTTCTCTATACCTCGGTTTCCAACTCAGTCAAAACATAACTACCTTATAGCATTAAAATGAGGGTTATAGCTATAATATAAACAACCAAGAATGTAAGCACCAAAAAATAAGCATAAAAAAGGAACCTCATACTAACCCCTGAAGATCAGGTACACTTAATGCTAATTTCAATTGAGGTTCTTCCCCTCGTACCAGTGGAACTCAAATTTGGCTGTGCATCAGAATCAGCAGGGAGCTTTTTAATTTAGATTTCTGGGCCCTCTCCCCAGAGAGCCCAATTCTATAGGGGCTTGGGAGCCTATAATTTTTTTTAAAAGATCACTGCATGATTCTGACATGCAGCCAGATTTGAAGCCATTTCATTATACCACCCACCTTGATTTGGGTACTTAAGACTCCCTTTAGGAAAAACAAACACCAACTACTAACATTTAACTGTTATCCCGGATCTGATCTTCATCTATATCTGAGTTCTAGAAAACCTTGGGCAAAATCTTCAGAAACCCAATAAAGCAAGCAAATAAAGCCACAGTTATAGGTAGAAAAAGGACATTATTTAAAATCTCTGATTTCCCATTCAAATGAGAACGAGAGGGAAAATCTTACTATTGACAGTAAGAACCCTGCATGGATGCCTCATCCTGAGGCACAAAGAGGAAAGAGGGGTTGGGGGAAAGGGGTCTCTTAAACCAACGAGGCGTCGTGCCAGCAGACTGAACAACGGCATGATGCTACGGCCCAACGACCGGATTAGAGGTACTCAACCAGATTCCGTGTCGTCACAAAGAGGAGGTGGTTGGCACCACTGGCTTCCACCCAGAAAAGCCCCAGAGGTGCAGGAGTAAAAGCTGTCTGGATTCTAAGGCAAATGTTCTGGGTTCAAATAGCAACTTGGCCACCTCCTGACTGTGTGACCCTAGGCAGACCCCTTCAACCTTTTGGGTGTCTGTTTCCTGATCTCTACACGGGGCTCACAGTGTAGTTACAAAGGTTAAATGAAAGAGCTATGGAAAGCACTTATAACCGTGTCCTGGCATCTGTAAATGCCCAATAAATGATGTTGATGAGCATCACTTCTTGAACTTTCTCCTATGTTTTAACCAAACTAACCTATTTATAATTTCTCTAATATAGTCTGTTCTTTCTGGCCTCAAGACCTTTAGCATATATTTTTTTCCTTCTACTGAGAATGCCCTTGTCTATTCAGATAACCCCTGATAATTTTTAACACTCAGTTGTAATAGCTTCTAATCTTGTCAATCTCACCTGGCCTCCTAGGCTGGATGACAAATCCCCTTGTGAGCTTCCAAACACCGTCTGTGGACTTCTATAACGATGATAACCGATGAGGGCTGAGCACCCGCTATGAGCAAGGCACTGTGCTAAACGTGTCTACAGTTCATTTGCTCTCACTGCCACAGTGACCCTGGGATAGTTCCATCACTTCACAGACAAGGAAACAGAGGCGCAGCGAGTAACCTGCTCATGGTCACAAGAGCCCTTGATGACTGAGCTGGAATTTGAACCCAGGTCTGACCAGCTCCAGAGCTAAGGGCTTTCCCTCTCTGATTTACTATGTTTTACACATTTTAGTTCATGTGTATCCCTCACATTAGGCTCTAGGCTCAGCAAAGGTGGGGAGAATGTCTTTTCTCGGTCTACAGCACCTACTAATCAGTATACAGTAAGTGCTCAATGATGCTTTGACGAATAAATGGATGTATATGTGGATGGGCGAGTGAGAAAGGGCAAGAAGAGACAAATGAACAAACCCGTACCTTAGACAACTATTAAAAACAATCAACACCTTGGAGATAGAAACTGTGGGCAGACAGACGGAGGTGTAAGAAGAAAAGTGCCTGCTGGTTCAGATGGAAATGAAAGATGATATGGAAGAATCTAGCCAAAAAAAGAAAAAGAAGAAGAAAAGACTGGCTACATTCAGCCTGGCTCACCCAGTCTCTTCACAGCCCCAAATCCTACATAAAACGTTACACAAACAAAGCCCTAAAGAGAAAGCAGCAAAGAGGCAATACCAACGGGAGGTCTTTTGAAAACGGACCTGAATTCAGCTTTCCTGGTGGGCCCGCGCTCCTCTGCCCAAAGTCCCAACAAGGGCTTCCCAGGACGCCGTGCAGGACGCCGTGCGGCGCTCCCATTCGCTCCGCCCGGACCAACGCAAGGCACCACGAACCCTTTCCCTCAATCTGTCCCCAGTGAGAATCTCCCTCGGCCTCACTCCTGCCCCTCATTTCCTCAGAGGTTAACTTGTAACAAATTACACTCCCAACCTCTTTCCAGGCCCATCATCTTTTCAAGTTCAACAAGAATGGAGCTTGCTGGCTAATTTTAAGTATCACATTTCTCCCTTGGCTCCGCTCAAACTGCTCTCTGGTTTCGGCTACAGAATGTTAACAGGCCAGAAAGCACAGGGGAGACAAAGCACTTTATCAGTTTCATACCTAAAATAATAAGCAAGTTTAAAATAAACAGTTGGGAGAGATTGAATGGCACGCTCTACTGTCAGCAAAAGCTGAAACGCCCCAGTCTGAAGGCTGACAAATGACGGAGTGGTCCTCTGGTTCCACACGGGATCTTGTCTCTGAACTCGGTAAGTTTCTGCTGGTGTTTATAAATGGAGCTGTATATTTTTCACTTGGTTTGCTTGAAGTATTCCCTAGTTTCCTTACGAGCTACCCAAACTGAGCTGTGAGTGGGAACAGCCCAAGCTCCCACAGATACCTTCAGAGGGGGTCCCAGGCTCGACTCTAGTATGATGACAATTTCCAAAAGGCCAATTTAACAGCAATTGGATTTTTCCTGCCTGCCTGCACCATTAGCTGACAACCCACTTCTTCCATCACATCTGCAAACAGTTCTCCTAGACAGTTCTGACATTTCCCACTTAGAAAAGCCACTTTCAGGAAGTTATTAACCCAAACGTAATCTTCCTGGTCAAGCTCAGGGGTACAGAAATGCCTCAGGTGGGCAGGTTTGCAGCCAGTTGGTTCCCGGTAAGGGATAAGAATGGCCAAATAGGATGAATTGGAAACACCAGACCGAAGATGTCAGTTACCATGAGGCTAAGTTCCGAGAAGCATATATAGTGTTTATAACAATCACGGTAAAACTCCAAATTTTTGAGAGTGTAACTCCATGAGACGAAACCCCGTGCCTGTTTCGGTCACCGCTGTGTACCAGCATAGTGCCTCGCTGAGCGCGGACAACTGTTTGCTGAACCGCTAGATAAATGATAATTGCATGCCAGTCACTGCGCCAGAACCATTACATATGTCACCTCACTTATTTTGATACCCACCCCACAGCTATAAAGGAGGAATCAGACGAGGAAACTGAGGACCAGAAAGGTGCAGTAACTGCCCACAGTTGCCAGTTAGCATCAACGCTGGGACTGAACCGCAACTCTGCCAAAGCCTGCATCCTTCCACTGAGCCCCTCCCCAAAACAGATGGTTCAGTCACTCACCTGGTGCAGTCCTTATGTTGACCGTCTTATTGAAATTATCCTTGAGTGCTTCCAAAACAGACTTCATTTCTTCTTCCACCTCTTCCAAGCTGATAATGTCCTCGACCAAGGCAGTGTTAAGATTCACTCTGGTTTGAGACTGTCCTTTCCCTTTGGCTATAAAGTCAAGAACAAAAGAACAGCAGACAACGAACAGAGACAATAAACAATAAACAATCAGTGAAGAAGTGCTGACTATGTGCAACCCAAATGCTAGAGCAACATCCCAAATGCTAGAAAATGACAGAACATTATCACTACCCTGTAAAAACACCTACGGCTACTGAGCGCCTGCTAGAGCCCCAGCGCTGTGCACAGCACTTTCTTGGGTACGAGAGAAGGCACAGACTTCATGGAGAGGAACCCCAGGTGAAAATCCCGGCTTGGACGCAAACGAGCCTTATGACCCTGGGCACCACGCGATTTTTCCGGGTGTCAGGTTCCTTACCTGTCCAACAAGGATAACATCTATAATGCTAGGCTGCTACACGGATACAAATTAAGTAATTCAAATACCTAAAAGAGCACTGTTCACAGGGCAGGCACTCCATTACGTGAATTAATTCCTTATTTTTCGGAAAAGTAAACAGAAGATGAGAAAGGTACGGTGATTTCCCTAATGTCACAAGGTCATGAAAGAGTAAAACCCAGTGTGGTCCCAGATCTCCCTAATCCTGAACCCATGAACTTTTCATTAGGCTGCCTCCATAAAATCTAATTAGAGATACAGGAAATATATGGATCAATTTTTAAATGAGTGCTAGGACAAGGATACGCAAAGGGTCTGACGGCTGGTGCAGACGAACGGGACAACAGTGGTTCGGAAACGTCACACACCACCAGGGGCAGTGGCAGCGGCCTACACTGTATGTTGGGAAATCAACAGCACTGGAAGCTCAATAAAATTCTGCTTTGTGTCCAAACCAGGAGGGCAGTTTTTCACATGCATTCTGTGATGTGTATACACACGGATAACTTTGGTGAGTAACACAAATATTCTTGTATGTCTTTATGGAGGGTGGGGGAAGTAGGAAAAAAAACATCTAAATAACATTATCCTACAGTGGTTTATTTATTAAACATTCAACAAAAATTTATTGAAATTCATTCACAACAAAGATTACTGAACATCTACAGTTAGCTAGATCCTGTACTATTTGTATAGCATGTTACAATTTACAGTGCAAGTTCAAGTACATTCTTCTGTTAGATACTCAAAGCAGCTTTGAGGTAGGAAGAACAGAGATTATTACTGTCCCCACTGCACAGATGGGAAATCTGAGGCACAGCCATTTCAATGTTTTGCCCAAAGTAACCAACCAGTAAGCAGCAAGTGACCTCTTTAAACTCGTGTTTCCTTGTGTCATGGTCAGGTTTAAAGCCTCACTGCTCCTAACCAGGTAATAACTTAGAGTTTTCAAAGCCAATGAAAGATGTAAATCTTCAGAGTCAGAAACACAAGATCCAAAGACAATAATGAAAGTAAATTCACACTCAGATCCTTGTGAATGCAGAAAACCAAGAACAAAAAGATCTTAGGAACAACCAGCAAGAAAAAACAAATTATCCATAAAGGATCAAAGTTTAGCATGACAGCACACTTTCCAAGAGCAGCAACAGATGCTAGAAACAATAAAAATAATTTTTTTCAATTTTAGATTTTTTAAAACCAAGTTTTCATGTTGAAAATTTGCAGGTGAGGAATCTGATAGGAAGGACACTGTAACGTGAAAAGCTAAGTGAACACCTGCGACACAGGCAACCCACGAAGGATCAGCACTCCTGATATGAAAAGAAATCAATGAAGCTAAATGAAAAAGCCAAACCTACTTTTCAAAGAGGCAATCAGAGACAAAAACGAAGTCACCAATGGAATGTGCAAAGGTGCTGCTCCGGGGCTGCGGGTAATGAAGACTGAATGCTGAGGGTGTCGGCAGCCCCCCGGTCCAGGCTGCCACTAACTGGCTCTGACCACGGGCAAAAGTCTCCCACACATGGCTCGCGTTTCTGCATGTGCAAAATGGTGAGATCTGCGCTTCACTAGATAATCACAAGAACTCCTTCGCTGGATCATTATAATCCCTTCAACAGATAATTTGGAAGGACTAAATTACTAAATGTGGCTGAATTTGTAAACAATCTAATACAACGCATGAATCAAAAGTTGTTACTATTGTCCCTATTAACAGAATTTAAGTCTTCTAGGCAGTAATAACCTTTCAGCAACTTGTTGATTTTCCCATGAACAGAAAAGGGAAGGTCTGCATGAAACCATGAGAAGGAAAGTCAATGGAAAAATTGGCTGGCAGCATTTCTAGCACCATCCGTAGGCACAGACACCCCGACCCACCTCCGCCAATAGCAGGTCTGCTTGACAATATTCTGTCACTCATTTACCCAACAAAATTTTTTGATACAGCTGTGTGTCAGGCCCTGTTAGACGCCAACCAAGAAAAACACAGACGCTGCCCTATTGGGCCCAGCATGGAAGACATATAACAAACAATAACCAAACCTACAATGAATTAACTAATTAATGAGCGCTGTGCTAAGTACATCAAAGGTAAAATAACAGTGCGCACAAGTGCATGTAACAAGGGACCTGACCCAGTCTAAGAGGTCAGGGAAGGCTTCCCCGAGGAAGCGACATTTAAGCTGAGATCTGGGGTATATCAAAGTCTCATTCTTGGATGACACAAACCATTAAGATCATCCATCTAAATCCACGGCTCTAATACCCCTTATCCAACAACCTTCTGGTTTTAATTTTACTTCCAACATAGATCTTCTTATAAGAAGAAAATATGTTGATCCATGCCTCAAGCATTCTGGTGTGCTTGGCACTTATACCTTTAAATCTAAATTTAAAAGAAAGAAACAGGCATTTCTAGCCATGTTAACATACCAGGCAACAAGGTAATGAGAAAACAGACCCGATGTTCTCCGTCACTGTGACCTTTTAAGCTAATCAATCGTATCATCTGAGATGCCATTTCTTCACGTGGCAAGGGGAGAAATTCAGTACACCTCTGATATCCTTCCAGCTATGATAATTGAAGGGTTAAATGTAAGAGAGGGGTGAGGAGGTCACAGGTCTCTACCTTTGGCTTTCTTGGTAGCAAAATGACGGGACAGTACAGCTGGACGGGCCATGTCTTGCCTGTAGCCACTTTGTTTCCCGCTCACTGTCTTCAGCATTGCTTCTGAAGCAGGTCTGGTCAAGGCCGCAAGGGAGCTGCAAAGGGCAGGGCGGGCCAGGCGGAAGCACTTTAAACCCAAGGCCATGGCTGAAGACTCCACGTGAACATCTGAAGAGAGCAGGACAAAAAGCTCTAAGTAAAACAGACTCTACTACAATTTCAAAAAATAATTTATACCAATTATCAAACAACTCCTATAAACTAAGCTATGTGCTAGACAATTTAAATACATTGTCTCTGATCCTCCTCCCTCCCAACCACCTACAAAAAATACTGGGTTGGCCAAAAAGTCTGTTTAGTATTTTCTGTAAAAGACACATTTTTTTATTTTCACCAGTAACTTTACTGATATGGGTATTTTCAGTATGTTGGCTTTTTCTCATGTAGTATAACACTGAGTGTTCTTAATTAATGTCTCAATCTGATTGCTATTGACTTCAACTGGTCTACCCAACCATGGAGCACTGTCCAGCGTGAAATCTCTAGCATGAAACTTCCCAAACCACAAAACATATTCAATCAGTCACAGCACCTTCTCCATACACTGCACAAATCCTTTTTGCATTTCAGTTGCATTTTTACCTTTCTTGAAATAATAAACCACAGTATGCCAAAAATGTTGCTTATTTTCTTCCACTTCCAATATTAAAATGGCTACATAAAAATTCACCAATTTTGGTAAGTTTTTTAAAAATGCACACTGATATGACAGTTATCACAATACAATCTAACAAAATTGTTTTGAATGAACTTAAAGACACTAAGCGCTACTAGAGCTACCTTGGGAAAATACCACACAAACCTTTTGGCCAACCCAGTACTAGCCCCATTTTACAGGACAAAGAAACTGAGGCTCACAGAGAGTTCAGTAAGTGGCCCAAGTCTGCAGGACTCCAAATGGCCACACTCCTTCCACCGCACCAACTGCCTTAGTGCACAAGGAACACAGAGTTAAGCGAATGCCCAGCAGCCTAAATCTTTAATGATGCTAATTAAATACCTATAGGAAAATAGGCTCAAAATGTTGATAAAGGTATACTGTACAAAGGGAGGGCAGGGCTTGAAGTAAGAAAGGAAGAGGACTTGAAGTAAGAAAACCATTTCAACAAGCATAAAATGACTGGAAAATTCACCCGACAGCATTTAATTAAAATTTTCTTTGGTTCCTTATGCACTGATTACCAATTAGAATGCACTTTACTTTAATGTGAGTCTGAAGCATGATTGAGGTTTGAGGTCTTCCATGTTATAGAACTAAAGCTCTGGAAAATGCCACCCTTCTCTGCATTAACACAAGTTACACATTATATTTCCGAGGTCTCTGACTCTGGAAAGACGCGAGAGCCTACAGCCCCCTCTGGGATAGAACACAGTCCTAGCGAACTGACAAGTGCTCCTGCCAGGAATCTGGCTACTACTCAGCTAAAAATTACGACCAGTTAGCCTCAACTACCTGGACATTACTATCTTGGAAAATCAGTCTCATACCTCATTAAAGCAACAACAAAAGAAAACCCCATCCTAAATTTTGATGCAGTACAATGGGCCTTGCAGCCAGGAAGACTGGGGATCCAGTGCCAGCTCCATCCCTGACGAAATGTCCCTGATCAACTGTCAAAGGGAGATAATTATAGCTGTTTCTTAGGGTTGGGAAGAATAAATGAGTTTATGTGCATAAAAGAGTTGGCCCAGTGGCTAGCAGACAGCCAGAGTCCCCCGAAGGGATTCTCTATTAATAGCTTTGACACTTTCCCTTTTGAAGACTTTCATGACAGTGTGGGACACAATGAAGAAAGCTTACATGTCATTACTGATGTACAAGTAGCCCAGAATCAGTCAGATCTGCACGTAAATTTTAACTTTGGGCAATGTACTCCATTTTTCTGGATATCGCTTTCCTCATCTGCAAATGAGAAAAGTATCCTGATCTTAAACTGAGATAATGAGTATATGCAAAACACCTAGCACAGTGCCAGGGACATAACACTTGCTTAATAAAACCTGTTCTTATCATTATTTTTAAAAAAAAGCAAATGAGTATCACAAATAAAAATAATTTCTCCCGATGGAATTTTTATGTTTATATTTTTATTCATTTATTTTTAGAGAGAGAAGAAGGGAAGGAGAAAGAGAGGGAGAGAAACATCAATGTATGGTTGCCTTTCACACACCCCTCACCAGGGACCCGGCCTACAACCCAGGCATGTGCCCTGATTGGGAATCAAACCAGCAACCCCTTGGTTCGCAGGCCTGTGCTCAACCCACTGAGCCACACCACCCAGGGCTCCTGATGGAATTTTTAATAACAAGAAGTGCTTGATGTCAGCGATCAGTGTAGGAAGTTAGTAAAAACAGATCTGGATAAAAATAAATAAAGGAATAGTTTTTCCTCTTCTTTAATTATCAACAGCTACTATTAAGGTTGGTCCTGAGCTGCTTGCTTTATCCATAGTATTTCATTTAATCCTCTTAAAAACGCTACAAAGTATAATAATCTCCATTTTACAGATGTAGAAACTGAGGCTCAAAGAGACCGCCACTGTCCAAGGACATGGAGCTGACAGCTCTGCCCTATTTCAGTAAAACTGTTCACAAAAGTTTGGCTCCAAGTGAGGTTTCCATATCTAGGTTTTTGCCTAATATAGCCAGTGCTGAACCCACACTTGCATCCAAATATGGCTGCATAATGTGTGGTTTTTGTTTTTTCATCTACAGGGTCTCAATCTGACTGCTCCATTTAAGACAGGTTTCCTGGTGTTCCTGTTACAGGTCATAATACCCATCCAGAAAGCAACAGGAAATCAAAATGGGTTAGAAATAAACAACCTTTGACAGAAAACGCAGCACCCAAAAGCAGAGCCAGTACACGTGAACCGGAAAGCCAACTCTATAAATAAACCACATTGCTGAAATGCTTAAGGCGTAGATTTTAATTGCACAGAAGTCAGGAAATTTCAACGTGGAAGTTCATTAAAGGCAGTCCCTTGGACCCTTTTTACCTTAAGGACATGCATATTAACACTCACTTCAGCACAGATGAAGTCGAGAAAAGGAACTGTTATGGGAGCCCAAGTATCATCCAGCAAAATTAACCTCTTTGCAGAAAAAGCCATGGCAGGAAGCATCTGGGCTTTGGACTGTGGCCTTGAACTGGAATCTCAGATCCCCCACTCACTAGCCGTGTGACCTTGGGTAGATCATCTAACCTTATTGAGCGAGTTTCCACTGCCATCATTGTCATGGTGATACTGATAAGCCTTTAAAAAAATCATTGTGACAATAATAATGAAACAACAGCTAACTTATATAGTGATAACTATGTGCCAGAAAAAATTGTAAGTGCTGTACTGCATATATTAAATCATCTGAACCTTATGATAACCTTCTGAGGCAAGTACTATAATTATACCCATTTTCTGGATGAAGAGACAGAGGCACAGATAATTTGCCCACAATTTTATTTCAGACAATCTACCTCCAAAGTTTGTGCTCTTCACCACTACACTATACTGTGTACATGTAGCAGTACAATTATTGGCATTATTATTCAAACTGTTATTTTATAAAACCACTTCAGACACATATTCCTTTTCTGAAGTTGAGGTTCTTAGAACTTGAATTTTCCTATTTTTCATAGAAGGTGCATTTGAACTTTGGAAAGAACTAGACTGTCTTCCTGGGCCACCTCCACCAGCCCAACTAGGTCAAATGTCCTGCAGCCAACGTTCATAGCCCCTATATATTTTTTTGTTAAAGCACTTATTTTTTTAAATGTTTTATTTATTTATTTTTAGAGAGAGGCGAGGGAAAGGGGAGGAGAAAGAGTGGGAGAGAAACATCAATGTGTGATTGCCTCTCATGTGTCCCCTACTGGGGACCTGGCCTGTAACCCAGGTATGTGCCCTGACTAGGAATCGAACCCTTTGCTTCACAGGCCCATGCTCAATACACTGAGCTGCACCAGCCAGGGCTAAAGCACTTATTTTAACAATACCACTCAATATTTGTGCAGTTATTTGATCCCTGTCTAATCCCCTCCATTAGACTATAAGCACTACAAGGACCTATGGCTGGCTGTCTTGCTCACTGCTGTAGCCCCAGTGCCTAGCACAGTTCCTGAGCACAGAAGACACTGAGTAAATGAGATGGATACATGAATAAAAGTTTAGAGAATTAAGTCCTTGACCAAGGTCACAATGCTGGCACCAGAATTGAAATCTAAGCCTGTTAGGTCCTGAGCTTTACTTCCCACCACTGCTTCAATTATCTTTTGGTTTGCCAAATTTTCACTTAGAGATAGTAGGACATGTTTTTTTCTAAATTCGGGGCGATGGAAAGTTACAGTGTCTGACTATATCATATCTCTGGCACAGCCAAAGGAGACCCTGTAAAGGTGGAAGAGATAGGAAGTCTGGATTCTAATATTCCTATCTTGTCATTCCTTGCCAACCACCCTCTTTAGATTCATAACCATTTTGTAACCAAAATGCATTTGTGGCGGCTCTACTACCGATTTGTGAATTGTATCAAGTCGCTTCTCCTACCTACGTTTTGTTTCTTCAACTGTAAAATAAAGGGTCGGGCTAGGTTTTCATTCTTTCCAATTATAAACCTTTCCAAGATTCTGAGAAATGCAACGGAATGTGGTAAAAGGAAAGGGCACTAAACTCAGAGAAGACCTGGAAAAGGGTCTATGTTCCAGCACTCACTAGGTATGTGACCTTACAAAGGTCGAGCTCTCCGGATCTCAATTTGATTTGTAAAAGGGAAATGGCAATACCATTTGTCAGGATCGCTCAAGTAAGATAATGGCTGCAGAAGCACTTCGTAACCAGAGAAGGGCTACTGAGATAACTGTTTCGCTACCGGACAGCATAGAATAATGGTTAAAAGCTGAGGCTTTGGAATTTAAACTCCATTAATTACTAGCCACGTGATCCTGGCAACATTATCTCTCAGTTTCCGTTTCTGGAGTAGTAATATCTACACCCATGGTGGTGGGCTACTAAGTAGCGGTTACAATTTAGTAAAAGACCCCCCCCCACACACACACACACAGAGACCCCAAATCCTCGAAGTTCCTAGCTGATGAGACTTTTTCCGCCCCGAATCGATGAGACCTGCTCTGGTGCGACAGGTCCCGTCCCCAGCCTTAAAGGTCAAGCGGGACTCGAATGGAATGTGTCCAGAGACCATGATCAGGCCCTCTAAGATCCCTAAGAAGTTCTTGATTAGAAGTCTCTGGCATCGGGACCCCACGTGCGCGAGGATGTCGCGCCGAAGCCACTCACCAGCTATCACCTACGATACTGGGAAAACACTCTTGTGAGCGCCGCGACGGCTGCGGCGGCGCTGACGTCCTGACGTCACGGGGCGGGGCGGTGGCGCAGGCGTAGTGCGTCACCCGCGGCCTGGCTACACTGACGGTTGAGGCGGACGCGTCTTGAGCGTGGTCGACCGTGGGGTCGGAACTTGTTTGGGGGGGAATGAGCCAAGGGGAAGACGCCGAGGCCAAAAGGTGAGTCCATGCCCCTGCACCGCAGCGTCGTCCCGGGAGGGCCTCCTGGAGTAGGCTGCCCTAGAAGTCGCTTCTCAGGCCCCGCCCCGGATTGTCTCGCCGCTGGCCCGGAAATAACAATCCGCGTAGTGACCCTTCGCATCTAGAAATTCGAGGCCTGGATCGGGAAGCCGGGGTTCCAGGCTAGACCCCGCCGTTCCAGTTAGCTTTTAGGAACAAGTGCCGTTGCTGCTCTGCACTTCATTTTTCCCCACAGGAGTACTCTTGGCTTCCAGGATTGTTGCAGCCCAGCTGGGAGGCGAGATGAAAAAGCGTTTTGGCCAAATCTGTTAAAAGTCTTAGGGGGTTGTCGCCCATGCAGACTCAAGGGATTTTGAGAGGCTCATGCCATCTTGATTTCTCATTAAATTATACCATTCCTCAAAAAGCTCTATGCTGAGTGAGTGGTCACAGATAGTGTCTTATTTAAGCCTTCTAAGGACCCTTGAGATAGGGATAATTGTGCCATTCTAGAGAGAAGAAACTGAGGCTCCTGGTAGACAAGTGGCTCGCTTCCTCAGTCATTTAGTAAATATTGGGGACCCACCATGAGCCTGCTAGGACGAGAACCATGATCAAAATAGGCAAGGCCCTGCCCTCTAGTAGTATACACTCTAGTGAGGGAAATAGAAGATAAAACAGTAAGTAACAGTAAATGAGCTAGAGGTGCATGGAAAGAAAAAGGTGGCCGTGTTGGAGACTGACAAGGAGCTCACTCTATTAGGGAAGCTTTCCTGAGGAGAGGATGCTTAGAGGAGGAGATCGTGACTTACCAAAGTTACGCAACTGTTTGAGTGCAAAAACCAAAATTTGAATGCATATCTTTTGGGCTGATTGCCTCTGCTCTTCCCGCTAAAAACAGTACCCTCCTGTGATACTAAGTAGCTGTTGGTGTGTCATTGCTGTTTTTAGACCTGAGAAAATTAAAAGGTCCTATCATTCAAGTCTTGTCTTAAACGTCATGTCCTGGAGAGAGGCCTGTCCTCTCCGCTAGCTCTAAAGTAGTGCAGCCCCAGTCTCCGCGTGGAATCACCCTGCTTAATTGTGTTTGCAGCACTTATCACAAATTACATCTCATTCGTTTTGTTTTTGTTTCGCCCTGCCCCTCCTGCAAGTATAAGCACCCTTTGGGCAGAGGCCTCGCTTGTCCACTGCTCTGTCCGCAGTACCTAGACAATACCTAGAAAATAGAACCCCAATAAATTTTTTTGAATGAAGGATATGTAAGAAAGGAGGAGGAATGGAAAGCGGAGAAAAGATGAAACGTTTCTCCTCCCCTGTTTCCACTCCTGGGATTTTGTTTATGTCTGTTTCACTTTTCTCTCAGGAAGTAAGAGCAAAAGCTATGGCTTATTCATTTCTCTATTGTCAGCACAAAGCCCAGGGTTCAGCAGTTGGTGGCTGCTTGTCACACATTGTTGGACAGATTGAGCACAGGAGTGGGGAAGGAAGTTCCCTTGTGTGGAGATGGATGAACACCGCCGACAAACGGCTACCTCGGGGCCACTGTGTGTGGCTTCATAGGCTGTGCCAAGATGTGGAGAGGCAATGGCAGTGTTCATGTCTGTCAGCTGTTGTTGATGGAGACAGTTCCTGTGCACTGACTTCTGAGGCACTTCTGGTTACACAGGACATGTGTTTTCTCTCGCAGGGAATTCTAAAGTCTGACACAGCCTGCCATCTTCCCAGCCCTCTTATCTTTTCTTTTTCCGCCACATTATACACTTATTAATGCTTTATTTCATAGCTGGCATCTCATTTTTGGTCCTCTCAGCAACCGTAAGTTATAAGCAGGGCAAGGTTCATTATGTAGAAATGAGGAACATGAAGCTTCGAGAGAAGTGACTTCCAGTAGAAATGCCAAAACTTGGCATTTGAAACCTGGTCTTCAGACACCAGTTCTACTCTGTCCTCTACTGTCTCCATCATAATCTTCATCTTTCTTTTTTGTCTGTGAGATGAGTCATTTCGAAAACTAAGACTAGTAGTAATTTAAGCTAATACTAATTGAATGCTTCTTAGGTGCTCTAGGTGTATTAACTCAGTGAATCTACACAACTCTTATGAGTTATTATTCCCATTTTACAGATGGGGAAACTGAAACATGGAGTGCTTAAGTAATTTGCCCAAGGTTACAGAGCTAGTAAATGGTAGAAATGGAATAACTAAGGAGAAAGTCTTCTTCCCTGTGTCTCAAAATAGTAAATATGATAATAGCTAATGTTTATTGATTATTGACTGTTTAGTAATTTTTTGACGCACTTTTATTCATCTTCACAGTGGCTCTATAAAATAAGAACTCTTATCTCCATTTATATAAATGAGGAAACAGAGGCCTAGAATGTTTAGGCCACTAAACAACCTGCTTTCAAACTCAGTTCTAACTCCAAAATATATGGCCTTAAATTTCCTATATTGCCTCTTCCACGGGAACAAGAAGTGCTACTGCTATTACCTAGCCATCTCCTTCAATGCCATTAAGACTCCCTTTCTGGTAGTTTCCAAAGCTCATTTTGGGTGATAGTTGTTAAACTGGAGCATCGCATAGTCATAGAGACTTGAGAGGCTTTGGCCTCCTGCCCAGTCAGCCTCTGGCTTCAGAAGAGGGAAGCTTTAGTTTCTACACAGAAACACGCCCCTTTCACCTTAAAAGGAAGCTTTTGCTTTCTGGCTGCCAGAGGAGCTGTCCCATGGGACTTGGTGCTGGGGCCCTGGTTGTGGAAGAACTGAGGCCTTTGAAGGACTGCCCAGGACGTGCCCTCCTTGAGTAAATGTTTGTTGAACTGAATTTGAAGTCTCCTATTCACAGTGTTTCTTTTCTCCTGCCTGAATGTTCACATTTCTTGTAGTATTTTATAGAGATTGATGGAAGCAGAAACCAAAACTCTTCCCCTGGAGAACGCGTCCATCCTGTCAGAGGGTTCCCTGCAGGAAGGACACCGGTTATGGATTGGCAACCTGGACCCCAAAATCACAGAGTAAGTCAAAGTCATCTAGATTATTACCTATAAATTGTTATATTTGCAGTGATGATGTTCAGAAGAATTTTCTAGTGTTTTAGGATATGGGTTAATCCTTTTGCTTGTGTTTTAATTGTTTTTAAAGGGGATGGATTGTTGTTATTAGCTTATCATCCTGTTATCTTGGCATTTTGTTACATTTGGGCTCTTCTATTGCAAAGACATAGAATAGCCTTTAAACTGTGACTTTTTTCTATTTGCCAAAGATGTTCTCCTGTTTTCAGCTGTTTGAATCCTTGTACCTGGTGACCAGGAAATTATTTTCTAGAATGAGCCTTGGGCACGATTCTTTCAGAATGAAAGCACAAGTGGAAGGACTCTCAGTACCTTCCCAAACAGGCAGCACTTGACTCTAATTCATGTTAAACGGCCACAGGAGGTCAGAACTGAAAGGGACCTTAGAGATCACGACAGTCCCTTTTCATTCATTCAATGAATGCATGAAACCAACTGCCCCATGCTAAGCAGTTTTCAAACTTTTAAAATCTGAGCAACCTTGTCTCAAAGCAATCAGCACCTGTATATGAAGTAAAAGCTCAGAGCTGCTCTGACTGAAGGGGAGAAGAGGCGCTCCCAAAGCCATTCGCTAACTGCTGCCCCTTCTTTAGCAGCCACATGGAGACCTCTGATATGACCAGCTCTCTTAACCCACAGTGAAGGAGACCGAGGCCCAAGAGGTGGAAGTGCCTTGCCCACCGCGGTCCCAAAGCTAATTGAATTGTTTCGACTGCCCACGCTTTCCATTGCAAATATTATAGTGGAAAGGCATTTCTTAGTAAAAAGAATGGAGAGGTTTTCCCCTCCCTCAGTTGTTCAGTAGGGGCAGAGTGCTGGTTAGTGGCAGGGTAGTAAGGATGAATGGATTGAGCTGGATGGGGACAATATTTAAAGTGAGTGTGGAGGATATCATCAGTCCTAGAAGTTACTCCTTTGTAATAGTGTTAAAAAGGAGAGAAGAGACTAAGGGACCTACAGAGTCTGGGATAAGAGGAGATACATAAAGAGGTGGAATTAAGAGGCAGGAAAAGCATTGTAAACCAATGTATCATGGCAGAAAAGGTCAGTTCCTTAAACCTGCTCAAACTCAAATCATAGAAAGGTAGATATTGCTGGCTCCCTCTGGAAACTGTGATGGTATTTAAGATGTGTTGCCCCATATTATGTGACCTTGGTATGAGGGCCCTAAAATACAGACTATTGCATCGATTGTGATTCTCTTTATGGCTCATGGCTTTGAGGATGAGTGTGTGAATCTGCCCAACCTCTCCATTAATGTGTGTTGATCAGAGACACTTTTTCCATCTAAAACCCTCGCTGAGAGCGGTGCTCCCGAGAGTGGTTTCCATTCCCACCTCTGATCATCTGGGTGGAAATCTGGAGCCTGGAAACAGTGGTCATTATTTTGGCCACAACTCCCTGTAATGAGACCCTGGTTCTAATTGTGTCCTGCTGCTTGACAGGAAGGTTCACTCGGGCATCCGCCAGCTCAGTTTATTGTCATAAGCTGGGTACATGAATGTTTTCTTCAGTTACAGCATTAATAGGAACATTGAATCAAAACTTTTCCACTGGTTTCTCTGCTCTTTTTACATCAGGCCAAAAGTGGATAACAAGTACTAACCTGCAGGTTGAGGCCTTACTGGGGCTACCTACACATATGACTAGAGATCATTTTTCCTCTTTTTCCTCTGTGGGTTTCTTATTTTTAAATGATTTTTTCCTATTAAACATATTTATTAAATAGTAACAAATCTCTTTTAAAGACATAACTATCATAGCTTATGATTAGCACGAAATGCTTAGTATAACCTCATTTAATTTACTTAATTATAGCAATGAAAGCTAACATTTTAGTATGGTAGGTCTTACAGAAATATGTGATTTCCTTCCAAGTTTTTGAACCATATAAACTTCTGGATCCTGTTCCTCTCAAGGTAGGTAATAGTTTAGACTAATTATTAAAATGTAGTTATTCGCAAACATTGAAGGGATTATATGATTAAGCTTATGTGATCTTGCGGTACCTGGTTTATACTCCAGTCTCAGAGAGTATAATTTGAATCCAGATCTCTAAACTTCTTATGACTCTTGATAGAAGTTTGCAGGGCACTCTCCAGTTTTCTTAACCTGACACCCCACCAATAAATTGCTACTAGTTCCTGCTATTTCCCATTCAGCAAAACCCTTCTTACCTCTCTTTCCTCTGCCTAGTCAGATGTTTTGCCATCCTTCTTCCTGATCTCTTTTATAAACTGATTTGAATACCTCTCATAGAAATGCTTTCTTACCTCTCGTTAGAAGACAAATTATGGTGTGTTTTTACTGTCATGAATGGTTACAGGAGTGTGCAAAACAGCAACAGTTAAAAACTTTCCCACTCAGTTTTTTGTAGTAATCCTATGTGTGTGTGCTTATTAATCATTGGCCTGAGTCGTGCTCAAGTTACAGTAGGATATCCACCTCTCCACAGCATGTGCATTAGAGTGACTGTCCATCACTCTGATGCCCTGCTTCTCGTTTATTTGTGTTCACTTTGCGGTTGCAGTGCTGCCCACTTGAGGGCCATGCTAGAGGCCAGGAATGTCGAAACCACTGACTAGATCTCAGCAATTTGGATTTAGGGGAATGATGATATGTTCTTATTTATGGAGGTGGCCCATTCCAAACCCATGTTCTTTCTACTGAATGATGGTTCCTTTCAACCGCATTATACTTCAGATTTCTTATTCATAAAGAGAATATTCAACTAAATGATCTGAACGTTTCTTCTAGCTCTGATATTGTATTAGTTCCTCTTATTTAAGCTCAAACAACCTTGTGAAGCAAATGGAACAGATATTTTCCTTCTTTATAGGAAGTTATGAGTTGACTCAGTTTTCTACTGCCTAATATAGTGCTCTTTGCCAAAATAGATAATAATTTTGATAGTCCACATAACTGAATAGTTATAACCTAAAGCATCCTATTCTAAATGTTTAAATGTAAGGGCTTCTTTTAAATTACGAGACCTAATCTAACTGTACAGTTAAAGCAACACCTCCAAATATCCTTAGTAGTGCCTTCATTAGAAAAGTTGAAAAGTTCGTGTCCTTAGATATTGTCTGTTTTCCACACTGCAGTTTCCTCTAAAAGATTGAATACCGCTTTCTTTTTCTAATATTAAGTGTGCTATGTGGAAAGCCAACCTAGTAATCATAGTGTTATGCACAAGAAGAAGCATGAGCGGGAGTAAAGCCAGGAGAAATTCTAAAAGAAGGAGCATTCTAAATGGATGGCAAATCATAAACAAAGGTAGTAATACAAAAGATTGTTGTGTGAGCAGACCTTTTTGACTGAAGGAGAGGTTGAATACTAAATGATAATGAAAATAGTTGGATACTGTCAGATTAAGACAGCCTTTAAAATTCATTCAAGCCCTGACTGGTGTAACTCATTGAATTTGAGCACGGGCCTGTGAACCAAAGGGTCCTGGTTTGATTCTCAGTCGGAGCATGTGCCTGGGGTGCAGGCCAGGTCCCCAGTAGGGGACACATGAGAGGTAACCACACATTGTTCTTTCTCCCTTTCTCCCTCCCTTCCCCATTCTCTAAAATAAATAAAATTCTTGGAAAATAAAATTCATTCAGACAAGCATGAATTTCATGTAGAAGAGATGCATTATGGGTATTTAGTAGGAGAGTGACAAAGTGATATTTTTAGAATGGTATCAACATCAGTAAGGAGGATTAATTGAAGGGGCAAAGACTGAAGATGAAGACTAGCTACAGCTCTGTCATTATATGACCTAGATAGTAACAGTGAACTTGGAGACCAGTGATGAGTCAGAGATGAAGAAAAAGTGATTGAAGAGGAATGGAGAGTTATGATGTTTCTTGCCTCAGAAATGTAAAAGAATCTCATCCACATTGACCACTGGGGTAGCTGGAGGGGAAGAAGACAATTTGGGGTATAGTAAATAAACTTGAAAGCAGCCAAGTCACCCAGGTGGAAATGTCCTGATACAGACTTCCTTGGATAATAAACTGGAATGCAAGGAAGAATAAATGCATTAACATGTCAGGGCAGTGCGTGTACTCCTGAAGAAGCCCCTCTTTCCCTGCCAGCCCATCCCTTCCTGTTTCCCATGCTGCTTTTCATGACTTAGTTTGCATGAAACAGCCCTTACTGTTTGCTTACTTAAATCCGAAACACAGTAAGACCCGTCTATTACATACAGAACATAGCGCCTAAAGTCCCGCCACATAACAATTTCTGTAAGTTTAGAAAGATTTGATTTCTTTGAAACAAAGTGTGCACCAAAAATCATATTAAATGTCATTTCTTTGACTTCCCATTGCCTACAGCATCAAAGTCAAATTCTCTCTTAGGCACAGCACTTCTCACAGCCGGTCCCCAGCCTGCCTTGCAGCCTCATCTCTTGCTGCCACTCTCTTCAGTTGATCCAATTCCTTTTCACCTTCTGTCTGTGTACTTGGCATTCACAAACCACCACCTTCCTGGCACAATTGGTCCTCTTTCTTTATGCTTACCTGTATACCTCTGTGTGCAAGCTTGCCACTGTTTTGTAACTCTTTGATTACATAGCTCTTCCAGCCAGAACTCGGGGCCCTTGAAGGCAGGGACCTGGTTGTGTTCATCTGGTTAGTCTAAGTGCCTAATACAATTTTTGACATACAGTTGTTTAAACACTTCTATAGGTTAATTACTTATCTGAGGAGGAGGAAGTAGGGACTGGATGAAAGAAGGTTAATGAATTAGCCAAAGAACATAGATGCATGACCCACAGACACAGAGAGCAGTGTGGTGATGGCTGGAGGGAAGGGGAGGCGGGGGCTGGGTGGAGGCAGGAAATAGGGGTATCTGTAATAGTGCTGAAAAGAAAAATAAATTAATTAATTTCTTTAAAAAAGGAAGGCCATTTTAAAGACCCATTACAGAAAACAGTGGTTTCGGTTGCTGGTACAGTCACTCTCCAGCTCCCCGCAGTGCAGGGCCCACGCTTCCCCTTCCCGGAGCACAGCAGACCCTGAGGAGCGGTGCGGCTCCCGCACTTGAGCAGCAGATGAAAGTGCTTGCAGATGTGAAAGCAAGAGTCTTCGGGCTTTTTTCACTATCAGCGCTCGCAGTCCCCATCTCCAGGAAGCAAAAGAGTAAACATTTCATTCCTTTTGTTTCGGTGTTCCGATAATTTCAAGGAATTATCAAACAAGAAAAGAAATCCTGGAGAAGTTGAAAGACACAGACCTAAGCAGATGTTCCTGGAATCTTAAGGTCGCAGTTCTCGGGCAAAACATGAATGTTAGCTTTTCAAAGAATAATCTGTCGGCATTTTTTTCCTGAGTAAATTAAAATTCATTTCCTAGGAAATGCCGATCGCCTTACCTTCCTGCTATTAAGCAGAATGGAGCTAATGAAAAGATGACCAGCCACAGTAGCCCTTAAGAATGTTGTTCTTTTTTTAAACGGGATTGACCCACCATTCATGGCAACTGGCATGGTGATAAGGTTTGAATGGGGGTAGTGAGTGAAATGCAGCTGTGAATTAAAGGCAGTGGGGGAGACTCTTCTAGCCCATCTGTCTGTATTTCAGAGACTTACCCTTGCTGTTCAGAAAATCAAGTAAAACCAGAAATTTGCGCTTGAGATGTCTCGCTTTCCCCTGATGAATCACCTACATTCTCACTTGCAATTGAGGTCTCCTGATGGGAGTTGAGAATTTGGAGACCAGAGGGTTGTTTTTTCTTTCAAAATAGGTCTAAAGACCAGATGAATATCCACAATATGCCTTGGGATCTTTGCATCCTGTCCCGGTAAAAGACCTGTATAGTGTCTTCCTTGCTCTACCGTGTCAGCCATCTGATCCAGGATAATGGGCTTGCTTGCCAGTGTACGTTAGTGTCAAATTTAGCATAGCGTATGATCCATTTCATACCTTTCTGCCTCCCAAAGGAGGTTCTTAGTCAAGAATAAAATCTCAATGTGTTTCTCCTAGAAAACAGTGTGAATATAAATGTGGCTGTAAGGACAGCTTTACTGACTCCCTGTGGGTTAGAATTCCCAGTAATAACAGATTTAGCATGTGGCCTGATACCTTTTTAGTATCACAGGGACAGCATTGTTTAGAGAAAGCCTTGACTCCGTTTGAATAGTGCAGAGGAAGCCAGGAGGAAGGCCAAAGGAAAAGGAAATGGGAGAGCTGTTGGTTTGTCTCACCCTTACATCAGATGACAGGAAGTCGGAATTGAGATTGACCACAGCAACCTGCTAGTCCGTGTCTGTGTGAATAACTTAAAAGCTCTGTGGAAACCAATTAAGTTTTAGAGCAAGGACTCCAAGAAGGGGACAGGGGGCAGAGTGGCAAGCAAGAGCTCACAATAAATTTCTTCCTTGGCCACTTACATTCTTTATTCAACCACACTCCAGACTACAAACTGCGCTCAGCTGCTGAGGCGGGTTAGTCACTCACAGCCAGATGGCTTATCGAATTGGCTGGAGTCCCCTCCCCTGGGTGAGACCAGCCTCAGTCCCACTGTGGCTCTGCATTGTCCTGATGCCCAGTCACATGAGGAATTGGAACTCTCAAGCATTTAATAATGGAAGTGCCACTAGCTATGACTTGGTTTTGGGCAGAGTTTCTCACAAGGGCAATTTGAGTCTAATGACTGTAAAATCTAATAGGGAAGTCTTTCAGGGCTATTTTGTGTGTGTGAATATGTATGTATTTTTTACTTCAGTTTTGAGATACGGTAGGCTTTCCCTTTTGAAGTGTGGGAGTCTGTGTCTGATGGAATTGTAGTTATTCACAAATACTATTTCATCGCCAAGAAATTAAAAATAAATAAATTGACACTATTTTTGAGCTTTTCTCCAAAAGAAAAACAAATGGTGCTTGTGGGCCAGGCAGCTGTTTGTTAGGCGTGGTTTCTGTTTGGTGTTTTGTGCTGGACAGATGCACAGTCATGACCATTCCAGTTCCCTTTCCAAATAGAGGCAAACAGCTCTGTTTGCCAAACAAACTAACACAGCCGTTTGGAGGAAGGCGGCGGGGGCGGCAGATTTTCTCCCTGGGGTAAACTCTCCTGCTTTTATCTCACACTTCAGGCTCATTGGCCAGCGAACTCCCAGAGCGCACTCATGGGCTGTCCTTTCTCCACAGATACCACCTCCTGAAGCTCCTCCAGAAGTTTGGCACAGTGAAGCAGTTTGACTTCCTCTTCCACAAGTCGGGTGCTTTGGAGGGACAGCCTAGAGGGTACTGTTTCGTGAACTTTGAAACTAAACAGGTAATTGAACCTTCCCCAGCTCACAGTACTTAGACTCTCTCCTAAGTATTTGTGTGTGTCTCTTAACTACTAGAATAGCAGTTCCTTGTGGGCAGGAGCCACGTCTGATTCATCCCTGTGTACCTTGCCCTGAGTCCTAAAGGGGATCCTTGGTTAACAAATGAACTAGTGAATAATTTCCAAAATCGACCCTCCTTAGACTTGCGGACGCGGGCAGCTGACCTGCTTTTCTGATCAGACGCTTCGAGATGCCCACATTAAACACGTGGACGTCCTCCTCCCGGTTCTGTTTTGTTTTTCCTTTAGTGGCTGGCCAACAAAGCCTCCTCCCCTTTCCGTAGTTTTGCCCTGTGGGGCAGAAGCCCTCCCTGTCTGTGGTGAGCCACCCACAGACTGTTTTATTTTAATTTCTTAAGAATTTGCCCTTCTCAGTGTCTCAGAATAAATGCGTACAAATTTGAATATGTACAGGGGAAGATTTCCAGCCTCAATCATGATATATATGTGTATCTCAGTCCTCTCCACAACTTTATTAGTTTTATGTGAGAGCATGCCTAGGTATTATTTTGTTAATAATAATTGTATCTGACCCTGGCTGGTGTAGCTCAGTGGGTTGGGCATAGTCCCGCAGAGTGAAATGTTGCCAATTCGATTCCTGGTCAGGGCATATGTCTGGGTTGCGGACCAGGTCCCCAACTGGGGACGTGCAAGAGATGACTGATCGATGTTTCTCTTGCACAGCAATGTTTCTGCCCTCTCTTTCTCCCTTCCTTCCCCTCTCTAAAAATAAATAATCTTAAATTTAAAAAATAATTAGTATATCTGGATTTTTTAATTATAAAAGTAAAGCATGTTTGTTGTAGATAAGTGACTTATCAGCCTAGTACCCAGAAATAATCATGGTTAATATTTAGTTATGTTTCTGGTCTCTTCTTTCTTCACACTCTGACAAACAAAACAACTCTGGAAGACTTCCTACATATGCACACATAAACACATGTATGGCTTTATAACACATGAATGGGATCATATGATCCTGTTCACACAAAGTATACTAAATGGTTTTCTGTCGCCTGATACATAGCAACATTCTATATCATGATATTGTAGTTTCTCTGGTGTAGATATAAATATGTAAAAATTCATCAACCTGTATCTTTACTATTTATACAGTTTTTAGATATAACTTAGACCTTAATTTAAAAACTAATCAACAAGATTTTTGATGACTGCATATTTCACTATACGACCAAGTGTTATTTGACTAATTGTTAGCTATTTAGGCTCTCCCCAGTGATTCACAAGTATAAATGATGCATAGTGATAGATTTATAATTCTATGTGCATATTTACTACATTCAGGAAGATGGTGTGGTGTCATGCATGTGTCATGCATGTTTTTCCTCAATATAACTACCACATTGTTGTTAAGAAATATGTGTCAGCATGTTCTGAGATGTCATTTGTCCTGACCAGTGCTGGGGATTTCATTTTTGCAGTCATGTTAGGCAATAAGCGACACATTGCTGTTCTAATAGTTCAAGCTTTGGGGGAGCTGAAAGAATGCCTGATACAGTTACCATTTTAAATACTTTATTTTTTCTCAGCGATGAAGTGTGCTGAGGATTCTTACAGACTACGAAGTTGGTGGTCTTGCCAGGGGCAGATGTTGGTTTAAAAACACTGGACTGGAGGTCACAGAGCCTCGCTGCTATTTCTGGCTTTTTTTTACGTGTTAACTTTAGGCAAGTCTCTCAACCTCTTTGGCCTCAGTGTTCACCTAAAAATGAGGATTAAAAACCTACCACCTTCTTCCCTTATAGGAAGTTGAGAGACTAGATGAGAGTGTGTATGAAAACATAACTGGCATTTAATAAGTGTTAACTATAAGAACTTGAAACAAGGTTCGGAAACAGGAAATTATTTCTTAAACCATTTGTGCCCTGTTGGCATCTTATTACTGCTTATGCTACAGAATTAACAGGGAGTGCCATGTAAATTCTAACTCACTAAATGAAACTTAAAAATAAAATGTCTCACTTATCTATCCCTTTAACTTTGCATGCTTCAGGGAGGCCAGGGTGCCAGTGACCATCTTATATCTGACACATAGCAGGCACTCAGTATTTGTTGAATGCCATACTGCTCCAGAGGGGTAAGACAGTCACCGGTAAAACCAGACTGGAGTGCCTGCTGGTCTTACACTGAGGGCTCAGACAGATACACTGTCTCTGTTTCTCTTCTCGTTCTGTAGCAGCTCCTTCACCCCCAGTAAACATGGATTACTCTTGGCCAAATGCCTCATGGATACAGATGGAGCAGCGAAGATTTGGCAGGGTGGAAAAGTACAGCCAGGCTTCCTGGGAAGGTCCTAGAGTGCCTGTTATCCAGCCTCAGGAATTCCTTTCAGCCTTGTTCCTCCTGTATCTGATAGGGAAAGGGCCAGGGGACTTCTGGCTCTGAAAGCCAGGTGCACAGATTGGCTCACACAGACACCTTGCCTGCAGACTCTGACTCACTCCTGCTTTTTCCGGCCTGGTTTTCTTTACTCCTGTATATATCCTTTGAGGCAGGCCATTACTCTTTCTCACTTTGGACCCAGGGAATATGACCCCCTAGTCCAGGATTCAGTTGCAGGGGCAATACTATTTCTGGACCTAGTAGGTGCTGCCCTGACTAACAGAAGGGTGTAGAAAGGTGTCACCTAATAAGAACAGTGCCATTAGCTAACACTGGTTAAGTGTTTCCAATATGCTCCATGCTTTACATGTGCTCTTATACCCCTTACATACCATTGAGGAACCAAAAAAAAAAATGTTATCCAGATGTTACAGGTAAAAAAGCTAACATTCAGAGGTTGACTAACTTGCCAAATACTACACCGCCAGTAATTGACAGAGCCAGGATTTGGATTTGGGTTTGACTGGCGGAAAAAAAAAACAAACAACTCATATTCTCTTGATTTTTCTGCTTTTTTAACTATTATAAACGTCTTGCCAGTTGTTTACCAAAAGCAGTTTGGCTAGAAATTCAGCCATGGAAACTAGTGAAGCCCTTATGAACAGCTAGGTGGGCATTTGAACTGTTGATTGACTGTCACCTCTCTCCTGGACAGGAAGCAGAGCAAGCCATCCAGTGTCTCAATGGCAAGCTGGCTCTATCCAAAAAACTGGTGGTGCGATGGGCCCATGCTCAGGTCAAGGTAAGTCTGGTACACTAGAAAAACAGCCACAGCTCATCCTGACTGAGTCTTCCGAAAGACAGTGGTCCACTCACCCATTTGCATCCCAGTCTCTGCACATCTGGAGCAGCCATACATTGGTCTCCTACTTGTATTTACCATGTGTGTTGGCAGATTCTTCTTTTGAGAAACATCTCAGGAGGGATTAAGTTCCTTCATTGTTTCCCTCCACATACCCACAGATTCTGGTTTTGATTGATTTTTCCATGTGGCTGATGTATATACTCAGACCTCTATCTTTTTTTTTTTTTTTTTTTTTGGTGCAGTGATTCTTTGGAGAGGAAAAATGTATTTATTTTTTAAATTAGTTGCTTTAGGCATTATTAGACTCTCCCCAGCCTCTTAATTCTGTAAAGAGTTTGAATGTTTATTCTAAATGCTTGAGAAATGGTCTGTTTGCATGAGTGCTCAAAGCACTGGCATCTCATTACGCCACTTATTTTCAGTTATTTTGGGACTTTGCAGTGCCTGTATTGTCTTCAAGGCCAGAGAAGTGGCACACTGCCTTATTCGTCTTGCAGGCAGTCTCTTGGGAGAATGCACTGGAAAAGCTGTGACCATTTTAAAAAATGAATAGTTTTCTGCCCTAGCCAGCCCAGAGGTGGTGAAGTACGGGGACTGGAGTAACCCCAAGTGTTGATTCCCTTCCTTCTGCAGTGAGCTCTTGGCAAGACCTGTCTGCGAAAAGATTTGTGACAGTTAAAAATGGAGCTTCAGTTTTTAGCTATATATAGCCTGGGTTTTCGATCAGAGACGCTCTACCCAACAGGCTTTCCAGTCGAGTCAGAAATGAAACATTTGAGCTCAGTGTCCAAGCTGAGACACAGCTTTGGATTCTGACAAATATTTCAGGTAGTCGGTCCCAGTATCTCAATTTCTAGGGCACATTACCTTGAAAATAGGAACAACAAGGAGAATTACCAAAAGCTTTTTTACTTAAAAGAAAATCAAGCCTGCCCTGGCTGGTGGGGCTCAGTGGATTGAGCGCCAGCCAGCAAACCAAAGGGTCACCGGTTCAATTCCCAGTCAGGGCCCATGCCTGGGTTGCAGGCCAGATTCCTGGTTAGGGGCATGCAAGAGGCAACCAATCTGTGTATCTCTTACATGTAGATATTTCTCTCCCTCTCTTCCCCTCTCAAAAAATAAATAAAATCTTTAAAAAATATATTTGAGAAATCAAGTCTCATTTGCCAAACTGGCTATTATTTTCTCATTCTGCATCTCGTTGAAGAGGCATGCAGGAGAAATCATTCTTCGTCCCTGCTCTCATTTGAGACTGTGCGCCCCACACTTCCCTTCTCCTGCGATTGTGTTTGACCACCAGAGGCTCCTGATTGCTCTGTCATATTATTTTTACTTTTTACAAGAAGTATGTAATTATCTCACATCGAATTAAACTGCTCTTTTACTGGAGAATGTTTTTAGTAGCAGTGGCTGAAAGCTGTTACTATTTTTCTTCTCCACTCAGGCCTGTTAGGAGTTGAATGTTATGCTGGGTACTTTGCAAAAATCTAGCAAAATTTTTAAGTGTTTTGGATGAAGCAAAATAAATATGGTAAGAGGTGATACCTGACCATTGAAATAAGAATGTCAGAGGGCAGTCCTGCTGTGTATCTGTACCATCTGTGAAATTGAAACTTGAAATTCTTTCCCTACTGAATAAGGAAGACTAATGGCTGGATGGGAGACTTCTTCTAAACTTCTTTTTCTAAATGTATAGCATAGCTTTAAGCCAAAACCGTGTGGAATTTTGCATTAATGCTCAATGTAAAGGCAGCCCTACAATCATCTAGAAATGAGCCGATGAAACACTGATGGGGTTGGAATGTCCGAGCCCCTGCTCTGCAGCAGAGGGCTGGTTTTTGTCCAGGCCAGTGAGTCCCCTTTCCCTTCCTTTCAGAGATACGATCATAACAAGAATGATAAGATCCTCCCGATCAGCCTTGAGCCGTCCTCCAGCACTGAGCCCACTCAGTCCAACCTCAGGTAAGACGGTGTGCTGCAGGAGACACGGGCACCTGTGCGCAAGCTGGACCTATTTCCTTGCCCCAAACCTTCACTCCTACTCTGGTAACTCTTCAGACTCTGAATTGAGAATAGTGCTAACTTCTGACAAATTCAGAGATGTGATAAGTTAATCTTCAGAATGTGTACATTTCCTCTCTTCCCATCCCCCCCACTTATCGAATTCATTCAGAAAAGATTGGATATACCTACCACATAGCAGCCATTGTGCTTGGCACTGGAAATACAAAGGTGTACCAGACACAGCCTCTACCCTAAAAGTAAGCCTTTTAAACGAGGCCTGCGTCTCTTTGGCATTTGTCCTTGCACACTAATTCCTCCCCAACTGTGAATTCCTTTATACAGAATTTTTGGTCGCAGCACTTTAATTCTATGTACCATTTCAACAACTCTAACAGTTTGGTACTCATAGGAACAAATTGTTGGTTACTTCTTTGGAGTTAATTCAAAACAGAAGGAACTAAAGGTTGGGTAGAGAAAGGGGAAGTTAAATGCATGGTTGAGCACAAGTAGAGTTTTGGGTTTTAAGGGGGTTGTTTTTGCACTGTAGCCTTGGGAGACATTTTAACAATAACAATAGTCATGATTTATTGAGCTTACTATGAAGCAAGCAGGGTGCTAAACACTTTACATGCCATATGTCATTTAATTATAAAATTCTGGTAAAAGTCCTGTTACACTCATTTTATGTAAGAGGAAACTGAATCTTAGAAGGGTAAAATATCTTGGCCAAGAGCACGCAGTTAGCAGATAGCAGAGTCCACATTTAAAGCCAGTTTTACTGGACTTCAAAATTCAGTGTTTTAGTTAATACTTCAGAGGAAGTCCAGATTGTAAATGCAGGGCTACAGTTCAGAAAGCCTGCTCCAGGGGAGGGAAAGAAGATACGTGAAGGAGTGTCAATTTTTATAAGGATTAGAAATCAGTACTCAGTCATAAAGTCAGGAGAGCAGTGCCTGTTTGGATAAAAGTCCAGACAGAAAACAAACAGAAGAGCCGTTCTCGAAGATCATGTGCACCAAACAGCAGATGCACAGCTGCCTGTTGTGGAAGGAGATCCTGAGATGTTTTAGGAGGGATAAAGCTGGTAGATTACAGTTATTTTCATTACTAATTAAAGTTTAATATCATTGGTATTTCTTAATTTTGTGCTGTTTCTTGTTTTTGCACTTCTCAGAGATTAAAAAAAATTATAGTGACTCCTGTAGATTCACTGGGAACGTGTATCCACAATGCCACATTCCCCTAAGACTGAGCCTCCTTGGTTCCAGTTTGGTGCCCGTGCAGTTCCCACAAATCTGACTCCTCCTCAGAAAGGGTTTACTGCATTTTTGCTGGGCAATCTTCATGTTACAGGGAACGTGTCCTTGGTGTCTTTTTTTCCTTGTTTGCTCTTTTTACTAGATAACCTAGTGTTTTCCATTTATTTTTTCAGCCAAAGAACCTCAGCTTATATCTTTCTGTTAGCTTCTATGCCTAACTAGAGGCAGTTTCCCCGAGACTCGTACGGGGTGAATGTCTGGCTGTCCCACTAATGAAGGCAGTGCCAGAGTACGTCTTGGCAATATCTCAGTGTTCTTTTTTATTGTAACGTAGCTTTCTGACTTACATTGCTCACATAAAATTTGAGCATGTGCAGAAGATGAATACCCTTTGAGGAGATCTAAAAGGCCACGTGTATGTTCTCTTCCAAGTTCCTCTCCCTAACTGGAGACCATGGACAGCAGCAAGAATGGAAAAGAGAGGGAGCCAGGGCCAGAGGAGTCCCACTGCCTGAGCGCATTCTGGTCCAAGGCAGCAGTGACCTTGATCAGGATGGAATTCCTTACAACTTCTGCAGTGTCCCCTCAGTCCCTCCCCCTAACACAGGGCTGCTTAGCTCCCAGCCTGATGGAAAGGAAAAAGTGAGGCTTGAGTTCTGACTCTGCAGTTTGTTGGCTGTGTGAAACGGGGCAAATCGCTACCTTTCTGCATTTGATTCTTTACCTGCGAAATGTGGGCACAGTGCTCACCTCATTAGAAGTCTCTGTAAACGATAATTATAAACACACATTTGTCAGATGTACAGCTACCTCGTTAGAAGAGACTGGATAGGATTTCCAGGATGGGTGGGTTGTTTTTTGTTTGTTTGTTTTTTTGCTATTACTCAGTGATTTGACAGGTGATACATGTGATAGTTACTAGAATAGGCTTTGGAGTCAAAATCCAACCGGTACCACTCACTGGCTGCGTCTAACACAGTCTAAGCTGACCTCGGTAAGAATATAACGTGCCTTACCATGTTGCTTTCAATGCTACGTGAACTATTTTTTTCCAGTTTTTCAGTGTACAGTTCAGTGGTGTTAAATATATTCATGATGTCATGCAACCACCCCTGCTGTCCACCTCCATAATTCTTGTCTTCTTACAAAATTGAGACTCCACACCCACTAAACAATGACCCCTCATTCCCACCTCTCCCCACCCCCTGGCAGCCACCACCCTGCTTTCTGTCTGTGATTTTGACCGAGTATCTCATATTAACTGCAATCAGTGTTTGTCTTTTTGTGACTAGCTTTTTTCATTCAGCATAATGTCCTCAAGATTTATCCAAGTTGTAAAATGTCAGAATTTTCTTTCTTTTTTAAGGCTGAATAATGTTTTAAAATGTATTACGTATTATATTTTGCTTATGCATCCACCTATCAATGGACGCTTGGTTTACGTCCACATCTTAACTATTTGGAATAATGCTGTTTACAAACAAGGATGCACAAGCACCTGTTCCAGACCCTGCTTTCAGTTCCAACAGAAGTTATTTCTGAGGGCCCACTCTCTGCCAAGACATAGTGTGTGTGTCTTCAGATCAAATGTGACAAGATGAAAAGTACTCCTAACAGTGTCTGGGCTTGTAGAAAAACCTAACAGGTGGTTCAGGCTTACCTGCTTCTGAAGACGAGAGCCTCAGTCGTTATTGTGTGCACTTTGTCTGTGAAGTCTTCGAATGTTCCCGCTTGAGCATCCTGTTGCTTTTCTGGCATGAATGAGAGGTACAAGGACAATGAAATATCCACTATTTTCTGAATGCACCCAGGCCCACTCTGACCCTCTGCTTGTCCTTTTTCCAGTGTCACTGCAAAGATAAAAGCCATCGAAGCAAAGCTGAAGATGATGGCAGAAAATCCCGATGCCGAATACCCAGCAGCACCTGTTTATTCCTACTTTAAGCCGCCAGACAAAAAAAGGACTACTCCTTACTCCAGAACAGCTTGGAAATCTCGAAGATGATGGTCACGAATCACCGCAGCAGCAAAAGCATATCGGTCTCCACACCTGAAATCCTCTCTGCCTTTGTACTTTGTGGATGTGACTGGTACTATAATGGAGCACAATCACATGTTAGAATAGAGTTTGGTAAAATAACATTTTTGGATGTTCCTATGGATGTTTCTACCCTGAAGTATGTGTGGAATTGAGCATCATCCAGAATAAACAGGATTGTATCCAAAATTGTGATTTGAACACTGGGATCCTCTGGTTGTCTGGTTTGTTTGGATTTGTAACTCCAGAAACACTGTATCATGTGCCAGAGAGAAAGGCAAACTAAAAAAATGTTATTATTTAAATCAGGAAACTAAATTTATTATTGTCTTTCTTAAAAGAAAATAGAACGTTTTTCTGGGCTCAAGTGTCTTTACAGCATGAAGGAGACAGGGAGGGAAGTGAGAGGTTTTGAGTCATGTTCGGAACTGTGGTTCCAGAATTCACTGGGAATCCCTCCAACTGGACTGAAAAGGAAAAAGTTCTTGGCAAAAGGGAGCTGGTTCTTTGAGTAAGTGTTGTGGTAATCTGTTTAAGAATTATGCTTATTGTTTTAAAATCCCAATTAGGAAAAATATGATGTATATCTTAAAATTGTGCCAACAAAACTGTAGACTCAAATTTAGCATTTTGTACTACAATGGAAGTTCTATTTGGAAATCCAACTTTTATTCTATAGTGATCATTTTTTAAAAATCTAAATAATCCTGCCTTCTATACCCAATAGCATTAGTAACACGGGACTTTTAAAATGCACTTAGTTACTGCATGAGGTTGTTTTTACAGCATGAGATGTTCTGTTTGGAATTGTGTCACGGTCACTCTAAATAGGAAAAGAAAATATCTTTGAAAACCTAGACGTTTCTGTATTGATCTCTGTCAGACATTATTACTGATCATTGTTTAGGGGTCTGAGTAGGAGAAACTGTCTTGTGCCGGGCAAGGGGGGGGCCCGTGCAGGGCACAGGCTCTGCTCCAGCACCTGGATGGTGGCGCCCTCCTGTTCTGTGTAGTTTTTAAAGGCTTGAAAGACTGCATGACTCACAGCGACAAGGAGAGAAAGATAAATCCTGTGCGTTTGAGAGTGTGCTTAGTTTGTGCCGTTTTGGTGCTGGGTCGACAGGCCATTTCGCTGGGTCGCACTGTCGTTTGTTTACCAGGTAAATCTATTTTTTTTTTTTTTTACCTTAGGTGTCATTCTTAGTGATTACAGACTTTTTTTTTTTTACCATTATCCTTAGCAAGAGGAAGCTTTCACTATAAGTCTTCCTGTGAGCATACATGAATTTAAGACACTTGATCCAAAATGTCAGCATAGTGAGGTTTCAGAGTTCACAGAATGAGTTCAGAGAATTTCTTGCCATATTTCCCAAGGTAAATCTTTTTTAGATATCTTTAGGTATTCAGTACTTTCTGCGTTTAGTAGCTCTATGATGCAAATAACTCTCCTTCCATTTGGGGGACGGTTCAGGGGGTGGAAGCATCATGTCCCATCCTTTTGGTGACCTTCTTAAAGTACAGAATTCACCATTTTGTCCTCGAGTCTTCAAAGGGTTGTGGTGAAATAGGACTTACTTAATGCAAAATAGTCTTCTATTTTTAATAGGAACTTAGAAAATACTTGACTTTGAATATCTCGAGTTGTTTCCTTTAGACACCAGAACTATTTATTTGTATTTAAAGCAATGTTTATTATTTGTACCAACTCTTACACCTCTGTGTGAATAAATGTGAGACTGTGCGGTTGTGTCTTCTCTCATCTCTTTTCTGGAGCAGACCGCAGTTCCCCAGTGGGCCCGTTTTCCCTCAGGACTTGGGCTGGGGGTGGGGCTGCAGGGCCAGGGGGTGGCAGGGGCAGCAGGGGGGGCGCCACATCTGCAGGCTTCCCTGCGGAAGGCTTGGCTAGAGGTGACCTCAGAGACAGTTCTCCCCACCTTCATGCCTGCCTACTTCTCTTGTTAAACATGAGAAAAGAGACAAGCTGTTCTCAGTGCACATGTATTTAAAAAGAAAGTGTTGCCCTGGCTGGTGCGGCTCAGCAGTTTGGACATCATCCCACCAGCTCGATGCCCCGGGCAGGGCACATGCCTGGATGGGAGGCGGCCTGTGGAAGGCGGCCAGCCGATGGGTGTCTGGAGCACCGATGTTTCTCTCCCTCGCTTCCTTCCCTGCTCTCTAAAAATAAGTAAAATCTTTTAAAAAGAAAAAAAATTGCTGTTGGGAATCCCTGAACACGTCATCCTGTGTTTGTCCCTTTTTCAAAGTGAGGGTTTCAGAAGAATGAATGGGTGTGTCATAAATGTGAAAGCAATCCAGTGGAGGTTTTGTGAAATACAAATGTTAACTTGTGAGGAAGTTATCTGTCCTTTTACTGTTTTGCTGAACTTAAGTCACCATTTTGAGTTGTATGAGAAAAGATTTTAGGATAGAGGTATGAACTCTCTCTTAATCTCAGCTCCCATTTTATCAAATGCAAAATGTAACCCCAACCAGTTGATTTTCTGTAATTGGCATCTCAGTTTGGGGGAAGAGCATCCTGTTAGAAAAGATTTTTCAAAGCATGTCAAAATCAATCGCAAAAGTTTTTATTAGACCAAATATTCTACAGCCCTGTTGCTTACTAAGTACAGTAAATTTTTGAGCCAGCAAATATATCTGACTTTTTAAAAAATATTTATTTATCTATAGAGGGGAAGGAGAGGGGGAGAGAAACATCAATGTATGGTTGCCTCTAGTGCGTCCCCTGCTGGGAACTGGCCTGCAGGGAACTGGCTTGCAACCCAGGCACGTGCCCTGACTGGGAATTGAACCTCGATCCTCCGGTTCGCAGACCTGCACTCAATCCACTGAGCTACACCAGCCAGGGCTTATATCTGACTTTTTAAATATTACTGTTTAAAAGGACAGGATTAATTCTTGCCTCATAAATTAAATGTTAACTATTTCTGGTAGGTAAACATTATGTCCCTACAACAGGACTTGTTCCCATCATTTTTATCCTTGTTTTTTCTTCTTCTCTCCTGCTTGTTTCCAGTCCTGCGGTAAATCCTGTCAACTCCACCTTCACAGCACACCTTGAGTGCACCCGCCTGTCACCATCTCCAGCACTACCCTTCTTACTCAAGCCATTGCCATCTCTTGCCTGGACGACCCAGTACCTCCCTACCTCTCCCCTGCCTCCCCTGGTGCCTCTCTAGAGTCCATTTTCTGCGCATGAGCCAAAGCAAACCTTTAAATCTGAGCATGACTCTCCACCACGCCTAGAAGATCCAGAGCCCTGCAAGGCCCTGCAGGACCCGCCCCGACCGCCCATGTGACGTAGAGCCTCCCGTCCTTTCCTCTGCGCACTGTGCCCCGTCACACCCACCTCCCCATCCCTCCGATGCATGTGGGGAGCTCCCCTCACGAGGCCTTCTGTGGGCTGTTTGTTCCTCAGCCCCATCGTTTGTTCCGTCCCTGCAAATGTCAGTGACCAAGCGGCCACCCGACCTCCCTTCTTAAATCACAGCCCTGTCACTCGCTGAGCCTTCTTCCCTTTGTCATTGTCTCATTAGCACATACTATTACCCACTATTTTTTTCCATTGCAGTTGACATTCGATACTATTTTTTATTAGCTTCAGGTATCCAGCACAGTGGTGAGACATTTATATAGTTTAAGGAGTGACCCCAATCAGGTGAGTGCCCACCTGGCACCACACGTAACTATTACAGGGTCATCGACTATGTTTCCTGGGCCCCCCGTGACTGTTCTGTAAGTGCCGATCGTACTTCTCACTCCTGTCACCTTTTCACCCAGCTCCCACCCTAAATGTTTTTTCCTTAGAATGTCGGTTTCAGATTAGCAGGAACTTGTGCTCACCACTGTATCCCCAACATTTAAAACAATGCCTGGTATTGTAATGGCTGCTCAAATATTTGCTGGCAACAAGTCAGCACTGTGGTACTTGAGAGCCAAGGCACCTGGAGAGGCCGTCCCGCAGAACCCCCTCACTGTCCGGATGGGGAGAAACCCAGAGAGACGAAGAGACTCAGCCGGGATCACATCATTAAGGGGCGAGTATCCGGTAGAATACAAGCCTGCGAACACCGCATCTGGGGTTCTTGGTGTCGGCCAATGCGCGTGCCCTCTCTCTGTAACCCACAACGCTAAGAATGACTTTAACATTTTTAAACAACTGAGGAAAGAGTCAAGTGCACTATTTTATGACAGGTGAGAATTACATGAAATTCAAGTTTCGGTGTCCACAAAGAAGCTGTTTTGGGGCAGAGCCATGTCTATTCGTTTACTTACTACCTAGGGTGGCTTTTCCACTGCAGTAAGTGTTGAGCAGAGCGACAGAGACTATGGCTCACAAAGTCTGAAATATGTACCATCTGGCCCTCTGCAGAAAAAGTTTGCCGACCCCTGCTCTGAACTGTATTCCATTACTGGAAATGTCTTTCTGAACTTTGTGGTGGCATAGGTCCTGGTGTTAAGGGCACAGAATGAAATCTTTTTCACCCAGAGGTGAGAAAGAGTGGTGTGCAGTGAGGATCGCTGGTCCCTTATCACCTCTCTGATCCCTTATGTGTCTTTGAGATCTCCGACTCTCCAAGCCTAGCAGCATCACTGCACTGAAAAACACTGTACAAGTGTGGACTGAACCCCCGCGTACATGCCAGGAGCTGAGGCCCAAAGAGCTTTGGCATCAAGCACGCCTGAGTCCCGACTTCTCGCCCCCACCGTGTGAGCAGATTAGTCAGGACTCAGCTCCAGTGACAAAAACCCGGCTCCGACTGCCTTACGGTTAGACACGCACTGGCTCATGTAACCAGAAAGTCCAGGTGTTCGAACGATACGGTCAGGAATCTGTCTATCTCTTGATTGTGTTTTCCTCTGGGTTGATTTCACTCTCAGACAGGCTGTCCTTCATGGTCTCAGGAGAGAGACTTGAATCCCAGGTTTAAAAAGAAAAAAAACCAAACAGACCTGTCAGAATGTATCCCAGAACACGGGGCTACACCTTCCTTCCTGTGCATTCAGTCTCACTTGGCTAGGATGACATTGTATAGAGTGCCATTTTATTTTTGATATGTCCTGTGACCTTTCCAAGCTAGAAATAGGATTTCAAATTTAGCCTTAAAAATAAAACAAGTTAAGTTTTCCTCTTCTGAAAACAGGCCTCTCCCCACGGAGGAGCCTTCTGTGGGGGACCACTCATGGGAAGTGATTGATTCCCCAAACATACTGAGCAGATGCCCTGCGCCCAGGGCGGAGGGTGGAGGACCCTAAGGCATGGTCCCTGTGCGCTGTCACGTCCCAGGGTGAAGGACACCTAGCCAAGTTGGAAGCAGAGGTGAGGGCATATACAGATGGTTTCCCAGAGGAAGCAACACCTGAGCTGAGGGGCAAAGGATGTTTAAACATAAGCCAGGCAAAAGTTTAAGGAAAGTGTTGGAGGAAAAACAAAGCCCAGTGAACTGAGAGAGCTAATCAGAAGAGGAGTGAAGGCACTTCCAAGTACCCAGACCCACAGGAGCAGCCAGGGAGACAAGGGCTTCTAGAATCTGCCCGAATATGTACTCTCCCTAACCACAGGGAAGTGCTTGTCCACCCAGACGTGCTGCCCTCCCCCAGCTGCCCACGGCCTTGCACAAGGTGTTCCTTCTGCCTGGAAAGTCCCTCCTGCACACCTCCATGTGTCTAACAGACCTCGTCCCCCACCCTTAGCCCCCCATAGCTGTTCATCACCTTTCTGCTTCTTAAATACCTGATTCTGTTTTAGTGCTTATCACTATGTATATGAGTTTGGTAATTAAAAAAAAGATTTTTACTGAGACTAAGATGAGCCTCAGGGACAGGTTGCTTCTCCCTGAACCCCCTGAAGTCAGAAAGCAAAGGAGTCGACCCCCTTGCATCTCTGCGGTTGATCCTGCAGGCTGTCAAAGCTCAGCCCCCATGGCTTTGCGGGCCAGCCCACCGTGATGCCTCTGGTTCCCGTCTCAGCTCTGGCCTCTCCTCTGCGCTACAGACCCACCCGTCCAGCTCACCCTGGGCAGAACCCCCACCAGAACCTCCCCCTGGTACACTGAACCCGTGCCGAGCTCATTTCCCCGCGTCCTTCCCCAGCTGCACCTGTGTTCCGGGTCTTTGGGAGCAACATAACAAAGATAAATAAATAAAACAGAGCCTGGAATTATCTTTGACATTTCTGCTCTCCCGTTCCTATGCCCAGTCTCCCACATGATCAGCTTTATAATTTAACATTATAGCTATTCTACGGAATCACACTGCATCTTAATGTATGTATTAATATTATATATCATTTTATATCAAGCTTTATTTAATATGCGAAAGTTATTTAGGAGACTGGATATATTATAAATTACATGTAGATATATGTATATAGATAAATGTATAATCAATAATAAATGTTACTTATCTATAAATGTTATAGATAAATATATACTACATGACCATATATAACAATAAAGTAACACACAATAATTGCTTTCATTATATTTTCTTTTTTTAAAGAGCTTGTTTATTTTTAGAGAGAAGGGAAGGGAGGGAAAAAGAGAGGGAGAGAAACATTGATGCAAGAGATACATCAATCAGTTGCCTCTCACATGCCCCCAGCTAGAGACCTGGCCAACAACCCAGACTTGAGTACTGACTGGGAATCAAACCGGCAACCTTTTGGTTTGCAGGCCAGCGCTCAGTGCACTGAGCCGCAGCAGCCAGAATGTCATTATATTT